ATATATATATATATATATATATATATATATATATATATGAATTTTTCCAGCCCACTACTACCAAGTATGAAAAGGTAATATAAACCAAGAGTGATTTTAACAGAAGAGAGGACCAAAGGGCATACTAAAAAATACCTGGGTAGAACCACAGGAAAAAAAAAAACCTGATTTAAAAATAGGTTCAGGACTTGAGCAGAAATTTCTCCAAAGAAAATTTGCCAATAAGAATACAAAAAAAGGTTCAATATCACTAGTTATTAGAGGAATGCAAATCAAAACCACAGTGAGGTAGCATCTCACACGTATTATAATTTTTTAAAAAAAGTGTTGTGGACATGGAGAAATTGGAATCCTTGTGCACTCTTGATGGAAGTATAAAATAGTTCCACTGCCATGGAAAACAGTATGGCAGTCCTTTAAAAAATTAAAAATATAATCACCACGTGACCCAGTAATTCCTTGTTGGAAAATATATCCAAAATAATTAAAAGAGGTTCTTAAAGATATAGCTCAATACCCATATTCATAGGAGCATTATTTACAATAGTCAAAAGATGGAATCAACCCAGATATCTTTTAATGGATTTACAAAATGTGATCTGTGCACACAGTGGGATATTTTGTATTTAAAAAAGAAAGAAGAAATTTTTGACACATGCTCCAACATGGTCGAACATTGAGGGCATTATCCTGAGTGAAATAAGCCAACCACAAAGACAAATCGTGCATGACTCCACTCATATGAAGTACCTGGAATAGTCAGACTCATAGATGCAAAAATGCAGAATGGAGATTGCAGGGTCAGAGGGTGGGGAGGGAGGAATGGATGATGGTGGTGGTTTAATAGGTACAGAGTTTCAGTTTAGCAGGATTAAAAAAAAATCTAGAGATTGGTGGCCCAATAACGTGAATATACTTTACTAAATTACACACTTAAATTTGGTAAATGGCAAATTTTATGTATATTTTACTGTAATTACAAAAATTTTAAAACTTTTTTAAGTACACAGGTGGAAGGAGAGTGCCTGATGCACCTTAGTTGCTAGGAGGGAAATGAGAGCAGATTGTATACAACTGCCTTAATGAGGACACTCACACACATGAGGAGCATTTACCTTGCACCAGGAGTTGTTTAAAAAATTCATATAATTGTAAAAATTCTACCTTTCTCTCCCCATAGATAAACCTTGACTGAGGCCTTGTGTTTTGAGGCTAGCTAGACATGCGGGTACCAATGGGCACCTTCTAATAGTCATTAAATCCCCCAGGCTTTCAACATGCTGTTCCACAGAGCAATTGAACAGGCTGACAAGGTGGAGGACCCGCAGGGGCGCATCTCTGTCCTGATGGAGAGCATCACCCACACCATCTTCCTCTACACCAGCCAGGCGCTGTTCGAGAAGGACAAGCTCACCTTCCTATCCCACATGGCTTTTCAGGTGAGGAGACTAGTCAGTTGAAAGCATCCCCAGGACCACAGGCAGACCCCTCTGTTTATCAGGTATTTTCCTTCTGCTTGACTGAAAGCAGAGCTGCCTTTCTTGGAAGCCTTTGATAGTGAGAGGAGAGTCTGAGGTTCTCATGGAGAAACAGAGTATGTGACAGCCCTCCCCTGGGCCACAGTGCTTTGGCTAAGCAGATATGCTTGGGTCCTGTCCAGAACCTTCCAGATCCTACCAAAAAGGTCCTTTAAGATTAGGATCTTGAGGGATGGGGCTGTGGCTCAGCGGTTAAGTGCTAGCCTAGCACATGCGAGGCACTGGGTTCGATTCTCAACACCATATAAAAATAAATAAAGGTATTGTGTTCAACTACAATATATATATATATATATATATATATATATATATATATATACACACACACACACACACACACGTATGTATATATAATATATAATATATATGTACATATATATGTTTGTATATTTATATGTGCATTCTCATATATATATATATATATATATGTATGTATTAAAAGATTAGGATTTTGAGTCTGAATCTAAGAGGTCCAAGGACATCTCAGAGTCCTTTTAAAAAACAATGAATGGGAGATCCAACATGGCGGCGGGTGCAGAGAGATCAAGTCTCTGACCTCTTCAGCTGTGTGGGCATAGGGAGTTGTAAACCGTCTAAATGCTGTTTGCTCAGGATCACTAGGCAATGCTGAGCTGACATGGATCTAGGGCAAACAGTCTGGGCCTCTCAGAACACACACTGAGCCCGGATCGGCTGAATTCAAGCTCCCGTTCGCCTGCTTCTCTCAGACAAACTTCTGTGACTCAGCACTAAATGATCCCGCTGAAACAACTGGTTGGCCCTTCTGAACCTACGGAGGTTAATGCCAACTGAGCCTTCATAGGCAGTGGCCACAGGATTGAAACGGGGCTTGAGAGACCCAGTCAGGACCCACCCATTGCATTGGTCACCCGGCAAAGGGAACGAACTGTCGCCATTTGCATGGGATACCACCATGGCAGAGAACTGACGTCACCAGAATGCGGCGGAGGAGATAACTCCATTGAAACCGGCGGTGACAGTGACTTCTTCCCTTCCCTTCTAATACCTTTCCTCCCAAGCATCAAATAAATTTATAGGAGTAAACAGTAACTCAGCAGTCAAACAGAACAAGAAGTAACATGAGCAGCATGAAAAAGCAAGGAAGAAAAGGAGTACAAACAATGCAGGACAGCCTAAATATTCAGGAGGACCTAGAGGCATCAGAAAAATGGTCAAATAAAGAACTCAAGGATTACCTTAGACAGATGGAATGGAACCTTAAAGAGGATATGAGACAGCAAATTCAAACAGTGAAAGAACACATTAAAAATGAATTACATAAACAGATAAAAGAAAAAATTAAGCATCTTTATCAGGAGATAGATATTATAAAAAAATCAAACAATTATTCTAGAAATGAAGGAAACTATAAACCAAATTGAAAACTCAAATGAGAGTATCACTAACAGAGTGGAGCAAGTAGAAGCCAGAACATCAGATAATGAAGACAAAATATATCATCTTGAAAAGAGTCTAGCCAACTCAGAAAGGCTGGTAAAAAATCACGAGAAAAACATTCAAGAGATATGGGATAACATAAAAAAACCAAACTTAAGAGTCATCAGGATAGAGGAAGGTATAGAGGTTCAAACCAAGGGAATGAGCAACCTGCTGAATGAAATAATTATAGAAAACTTTCCAGAAATAAAAAAGGAAACAGATATACAAATTGTAGATGCATACAGGACACCGAGCATACAAAATCACATTAGACCAACGCCAAGACACATTGTTATGAAGATATCCAATATACAGAACAAAGAGAAAATATTAAAAGCTACAAGAGAAAGGAGGCAGATTACATTCAGGGGTAAACCAATAAGGTTAACAACGGATTTTTCATCACAGACGCTGAAAGCGAGAAGATCCTGGAACAACGTATTTCAAACACTGAAAGACAATGGATGCCAACCAAGAATTTTGTATCCAGCAAAATTAAGCTTCAGGTATGACAACGAAATAAAAATCTTTCATGATAAACAAAAGCTAAAAGAATTTGCAGCCAGAAAACCAGCATTGCAAAGCATCTTGAGCAAAACACTACACGAGGAAGAAATGAAAAACAATAACCAAAACCATCAGTGGGAAGTGCCTCAGTAAAGACAGAGGGCAGGGGGAAAGCTAATCATGGAGAAACAAACTAAATTAAAAAAAAAAAAAAGATAAATAATCAAACATGGCTGGAAGTACAAACCATCTATCAATAGTAACTCTAAATGTTAATGGCCTAAACTCTCCAAAAAAGCGACATAGGCTGGTAACATGGATTAAAAATCAAATCCAACAATATGCTGCCTCCAGGAGACACATCTGATTGGAAAAGACATACACAGGCTGAAGGTGAAAGGTTGGGAAAAAATATACCACACACACGGTCCTCGTAAGCAAGCAGGGGTGGCCATCCTCATATCGAATAAAATCGACTTCAAGACTAAGTTAATCAAAAGGGATAAGGAAGGACATTATATACTGTTAAAAGGAACCATTCACCAACAGGACATAACAATTATCAGTATTTATGCACCAAATAATGGTGCTGCGACATTCATAAAACAAATTCTCCTCAAGTTCCAGAATCAAATAGACCACAACACAATAATTATGGGTGACTTCAGCACACCTCTCTCACCATTGGACAGATCCTCCAAACAAAAGTTGAATAAAGAAACTATAGAACTCAATATCACAATCAATAACCTAGACTTAACTGGCATATATAGAATATATCAACCATCATCAAGTGGATATACTTTTTTCTCAGCAGCACATGGATCCTTCTCAAAAATAGACCACATATTAAACCATAGGGCAACCCTCAGTAAATATAAAGGGGTGGAGATAATACCATGCATTTTATCTGATCATAATGGAATGAAACTGGAAATCAATGATAAAAGAAGGAAGGAAAAATCCTACATCACATGGAAAATGAACAATATATTACTGAATGATCAATGGGTTACAGAAGACATAAAGGATGAAATAAAAAAATTCTTAGAGATAAATGAAAATACAGACACAACATATCGGAATCTATGGGACACAATGAAAGCAGTTTTAAGAGGGAAATTCATCGCCTGGAGGTCATTCCTCAAAAAAAGAAAAAACCAACAAATAAATGAGCTCACACTTCATCTCAAAGCCCTAGAAAAGGAAGAGCAAAACAACAGCAAATGTAGCAGAAGGCAAGAAACAATTAAAATCAGAGCGGAAATCAACGAAATGGAAACAAAAGAAACTATTGAAAAAATTGACAAAACTAAAAGTTGGTTCTTTGAAAAAATAAATAAGATCGACAGACCCTTAGCCATGCTAATGAAGAGAAGAAGAGAGAGAACTCAAATTACTAACATACAGGATGAAAAAGGCAACATCACAACAGATACTACAGAAATACAGAAGATAATTAGGAATTATTTTGAAAACCTATATTCCAATAAAATAGAAGATAGTGAAGACATTGATAAATTTCTTAAGTCATATGATTTGCCCAGACTGAGTCAGGAGGATACACACAATTTGAACAGACCAATATCAATGGATGAAGTAGAAGAAGCAATCAAAAGACTACCAACCAAGAAAAGCCCAGGACCGGATGGGTATAGAGCAGAGTTTTACAAAACCTTTAAAGAAGAATTAATACCAATACTTTTCAAGTTATTTCAGGAAATGGAAAAAGAGGGAGCTCTTCCAAATTCATTCTATGAGGCCAAACATCACCCTGATTCTGAAACCAGACAAAGACACCTCAAAGAAAGAAAACTACAGACCAATATCTCTAATGAACCTAGATGCAAAAATCCTCAATAAAATTCTGGCAAATCAGATACAAAACACATCAAAAAAATTGTGCACCATGATCAAGTAGGATTCATCCCTGGGATGCAAGGATGGTTCAATATACGGAAATCAATAAACGTTATTCACCACATCAATAGACTTAAAGATAAGAACCATATGATCATCTCGATAGATGCAGAAAAAGCATTCGACAAAGTACAGCATCACTTTATGTTCAAAACATTAGAAAAACTAGGGATAACAGGAACATACCTCAACATTGTAAAAGCTATCTATGCTAAGCCTCAGGCTAGCATCATTCTGAATGGAGAAAAATTGAAGGCATTCCCTCTGAAATCTGGAACAAGACAGGGATGCCCTCTATCACCACTTCTATTCAATATAGTTCTCGAAACACTGGCCAGAGCAATTAGACGAAAGAAATTAAAGGCATAAAAAATAGGAAAAGAAGAACTTAAATTATCACTATTTGAGGCCGACATGATTCTATACCTAGAAGACCCAAAAGGGTCTACAAAAAAACTACTAGAACTAATAAATGAATTCATCAAAGTGGCAGGATATAAAATCAACACGCATAAATCAAAGGCATTTCTGTATATCAGCAACAAAACTTCTGAAACTGAAATGAGGAAAAACACCCCATTCACAATATCCTCAAAAAAAATAAAATACTTGGGAATCAACCTAACAAAAGAGGTGAAAGACTTATACAATGAAAACTACAGAACCCTAAAGAGAGAAATAGAAGAAGATCTTAAAAGATGGAAAAATATACCCTGTTCATGGATAGGCAGAACTAACATCATCAAAATGGCGATATTACCAAAAGTTCTCTATAGGTTTAATGCAATGCCAATCAAAATCCCGACAACATTTCTTGTAGAAATAGATAAAGCAATCATGAAATTCATATGGAAAAATAAAAGACCCAGAATAGCAAAAGCAACTCTAAGCAGGAAGTGTGAATCAGGCGGTATAGCGATACCAGATTTCAAACTATATTACAGAGCAATAGTAACAAAAACAGCATGGTACTGGTACCAAAACAGGCGGGTGGACCAATGGTACAGAATAGAGGACACAGAGACCAATCCACAAAGTTACAACTACCTTATATTTGATAAAGGGGCTAAAAGCATGCAATGGAGGAAGGATAGCATCTTCAACAAATGGTGCTGGGAAAACTGGAAATCCATATGCAACAAAATGAAGCTAAACGCCTTTCTCTCGCCATGCACAAAAGTTAACTCAAAATGGATCAAGGAGCTTGATATCAAATCAGAGACACTGCGTCTGATAGAAGAAAAAGTTGGCTCCAATCTACATATTGTGGGGTTGGGCTCCAAATTCCTTAATAGGACACCCATAGCACAAGAGTTAATAACAAGAATCAACAAATGGGACTTACTTAAACTAAACAGTTTTTTCTCAGCAAGAGAAACAATAAGAGAGGTAAATAGGGAGCCTACATCCTGGGAACAAATTTTTACTCCTCACACTTCAGATAGAGCCCTAATATCCAGAGTATACAAAGAACTCAAAAAATTAAACAATAAGATAACAAATAACCCAGTCAACAAATGGGCCAAGGACCTGAACAGACACTTCTCAGAGGAGGACATACAATCAATCAACAAGTACATGAAAAAATGCTCACCATCTCTAGCAGTCAGAGAAATGCAAATCAAAACCACCCTAAGATACCATCTCACTCCAGTAAGATTGACAGCCATTATGAAGTCAAACAACAAGAAGTGCTGGCGAGGATGTGGGGAAAAGGGTACTCTTGTACATTGCTGGTGGGACTGCAAATTGGTACGGCCAATCTGGAAAGCAGTATGGAGATTCCTGGGAAAGCTTGGAATGGAACCACCATTTGACCCAGCTATTGCTCTTCTCGGACTATTCCCTGAAGACCTTAAAAGAGCGTACTACAGGGATACTGCCACATTGATATTCATAGCAGCACAATTCACAATAGCTAGACTGTGGAACCAACCTAGATGCCCTTCAATAGATGAATGGATAAAAAACATGTAGCATTTATACACAATGAAGTATTACGCAGCACTAAAAAATGACAAAATCATGGAATTTGCAGGGAAATGGATGGCACTAGAGCAGATATGCTAAGTGAAGCTAGCCAATCCCTAAAAAACAAATGCCAAATGTCTTCTTTGATATAATGAGAGCAACTAAGAACAGAGCAGGGAGGAAGAGCAGGAGGAAAAGATTAACATTAAACAGAGACATGAGGTGGGAGGGAAAGGTAGAGAAAAGGGAAATTGCATGGAAATGGAAGGAGACCCTCATTGATATACAAAATTACATATAAGAGGTTATGAGGGGAATGGGAAAAAAAAAACAAGGAGAGAAATGAATTACAGTAGATGGGGTAGAGAGAGAAGATGGGAGGGGAGGGGAGGGGGGATAGTAGAGAATAGGAAAGGTAGTAGAATACAACAGTTACTAATATGGCATTATGTAAAAATGTGGATGTGTAGCCGATGTGATTCTGCAATCTGTATTTGGGGTAAAAATGGGAGTTCATAACCCACTTGAATCTAATGTATGAAATATTATATGTCAAGAGTTTTGTAATGTTTTGAACAACCAATAAAAATAAATAAATAACAATGAATGGTTTATCCATATTGTTGCAAATGACATAATTTTATTTTTAAAGGTTGCATAGTATTCCTTTGCAAATAGTCAATAATAATGTATGTTTCAAAATAGCAAAAAGGGTAATGTTTTAGGTTAAATGTTCTCACTGCAAAAAATGATTATGAGGTGATAGATGCGTTAATTAGCTTTATTTAACCATTTTACAATGTAAACATATATCAAACAACACATTTTGTCCCATAAATATATAATATTATTTGTCACAAAAAAAAATGTGTAAATAAATTACCTTCTAGGCTTAATGTCCCATCTTCATGAGACCAGCTTCCCTTTTAATCTTTTTCATATGGAAGATTAAAAAGGAAGCTTAAGTGGGAATTAAGGTGTCTGTGGTAAGAAAAAGAAGGAAAAATAATTCAACTTCAAGCTCCAGGTTCAGATGAAACAAGCCTGTTATCTTTTATTAACTAGTTTGCGATATGGTTCTTCCTGTCCCTCAAAACCTTGAGAGAAGATTTGTGCCTTGCCTGTTTCGTGTCTTCCAAAGGACCTTGCCCAGAAATGACATTTAGTAAGCACCTGATGTGCATAATAATAAGCTACCACTTCCCTTTTGATGTTTTTGATAATCACAGATGCCCTTAGGTTCTCTAAGAATATAAGTGTAGATGTTTTTGAATGCATGTGATAAACAGGAACAAGGCATTACAAAATGAAATACCTATTGTTAATTAACAGGAAAGAGTCAGGCATGATAATACATGATACACACATCTATTTAAAACTTCCTCTTGGATGCCATAAAGTAGAATCTATCTCAACTCCTGTCAATCTATGTAAATGAGATCTTCATTATCTATATGGATGATTACTCACTGTTGAAATAAACTGAATTAATAAAAATTAATTATTCACTAAGATAGTTTAATGAATTTTGAAAATATCTAGATTTTTTTAGATAGCATAAAACTCATCTGTTTAACTATAGAGGTATTATATTTCTACATGGAAATTAGGAATGCTTCATTTTTGCCTCCAAAATGTACTATGAACTTATGAGCTCTACAACCAGACTGTTTAAAGTTTATTCAAGTTAATTATGTTTGTTAAACAATTTTGAGCTTTACTCAAGATAATCTCACATATAAGAAAGATCTTTTATGTTCCTTGCAGCTTATTGAATATAGCACCTATACTAGATTAACTTACAATACTAGTTCTGCTCTGTTTAGTAATTAAGTCTATTGTCACCAGAGGCTTTCTCATTTTCTATCACAAATTTAAGATAAATTTATACCTTAATAGAAGATTAAATATAAAGCATATTTCAAATATGTTGCTAATAGCCATCATCATTAGAATTGGAATAAAGCAGGGCTGGGGTTATGGCTCAGAGGTAGAGCGCTCACCTAGCATGTGCAAGGCCCTGAGTTTGATCCTCAGCACCACATAAAAATAAATAATAAAAAGAATTTGAATAAGTCAGCCTTTGCAGTTATTTTTTTTAATCACATTTCCAGGAATGGTTTTGCGATTATGGACATACTCTCAGAATCTTTATTTCACCCATAGAATAGATGCTTGCCAGAATCCCAGCAGATTTGGCTCTGCCAATTCAGGCATATCTTCCCTGGTGACTGCTTCCTGGGTGGTGATTTCCATGTAAACCTCATGATCGTTTTCAATTTTGTGTATTCAAGATTTTGTTGAGAAAGAAAGAGGTCGACCCCCTTGAACTGGATTTTCTGCTCCGCTTTCCAGTTGAACACACCTGTCTAAGTCCCCTCGACTTTCTAACGACTCAGTCATGGAGTGCTATTAAGGTACATTGACAAGTTGGTTTCTCAATTTCTAAATATTACTTCAAATATTAGCTCTCACAAAAGGAGAAATATAGTTTTAAAGCTACGGGTGACATATTAGACACTATTTTATTTGTAAAAAACATGCTATATAATGTGATCTTTTGTTATATTCATATTATTAAATTGGTTAATTTCTTACTGGGAAGTAAAAGAGTTTTTGACCTATGTGTGGGTAGAAAAATTATGTATAGTCAGAACCTTTGATAAAAGTCAAGTTATATAAATGTGGGTTTTTTCAACTTAAATCTATTTTCTGCATTTCATTTTGTTAAATTATATTTTTTTGCTTTTCCTAAATTTTTTAAATTGCACAACAAAACAGGAGTTTATTCTCATTGTAAAATGTTAAAGCAAAATAATATCATAAAGAAAAAAGTGAGTGTCCTTCTACAACCCCAATTATCAATCCTTATTCCATTTTTCTGTCAGAAGAGCCTTACTTTCCTTTTTTTTTTTTTTGGCAGCGGGGTACTGGGGATTGAACTCGGGGGCACTTGACCACTGAGCCACATCCCCAGCCCTATTTTGTATTTTATTTAGAAACAGAGTCTCACTGACTTATTTAGTGCCCAACTTTTGCTGAGGCTGGCTTTGAACTCATGATCCTCCTGTCTCAGTCTCCAGAGCTGTTGGGATTACAGGCAAGCACCACCGTGCCAACAGAAGATCCTGTTTTAAAGAATTCATTCTCCCAGGCTCTAGACTTCCTTAAAGCTGTTTGACCTATATTAAACTTTGCCCCATTTTTTTGTTCAAAGGAAAAAAATATTTCCATGCATTGAAAATAACTGTTATGAGGCTAGGGCTGTAGCTCACTGGTAGAGCACTTGTCTAGCATGTGTGATGCACTGGGTTCAATTCTTAGCACCACATATAAATAAATAAATAAAATAAAGGTACTGTGTCCATCTACAACTAAAAATACTTTTTAAAATGTTATGTCTGGGGCTGGGGTCGTGGCTCAGTGGCAGAGTGCTTGCCTAGCATGTATGAGGCACGGTTCAATTCTCAGCACCACATATCAATAAATAAAAAAAATAAAGGTCCATTGACAACTAAACACAATTTTTAAAAAATGTTATGTCTTATTTTTTTATATTACATTAAGATTTTATTTTTAAAAACTAGTTTTGGCTAGCACAGTGGCACATACCTATAATCCCAGCCACATGGGAGTCTGGGGCAGGAGGATCACAAGTTGAAGGGCATCTACAGCAAGTTAGCAGGACCCTCGACCACTTAGTGAGACCCTGTCTTCAAATAAGATATAAAAAGCACTGAGGATGTGGCTCGGTGGTAAAGCATCCCTAGGTTCAATCCCTAGGACACCAACTCCCCACCCCACAAAAAAAGAAAAGAAAAAACCCTAGTATTTTGTTTTCTGTTTTATCTTTCTTGTTTGTGGAACTGAGAATTGAACCCCAGGGTGTGCTACCGCTGAACTATATCCCTTGGTTTTTTAATTCGTATTTTTTATTGTTGAAATGTGATCTCTGCAGAAAATAGCACATTCAAATGGGTGATAGAGTTTATCAAAGAATATATTTTTATATTGAGGGCAAGAATGAACCAGGGATGGAGAAGAGTGAACAAGGGATGGGGAAGAAAATAACAGAGAAAGGAGCTCTTGGAACTTCTGAGAAATGAAGTTATGGGAGAGAGCTAATATTGTCATTGCCAAAGACATCCCAGCGGGAAAGAGCCGGCAAAGAAAAACCCTGCCCCTCTCTCTCCAGCCCCCAGTCTGCTGCAACTGCTTACCTTTGGCCAAACCCGGCAAAAGGAATGGGGAACTTGGCTGACATTATCCTTAGAGATCACCCTTAGGAAAAGAGAGAGTAGATCTGGAGGGGAGAATGAAGACTGGCCAGCATGATGTGCTGAGAGGGGACTAGATCACCCTCAAGTCTCTCAGGCTGGAAGCTGCTGTTCCCATCCGTTTCCTTTTGTACACCAGGCACTTGCCCTTATGGAAGAATTTCGAGGCATAGACAGAGATGTGGAAGGATCTTCCAAGCAGTGGAGAAAGTGGGTTGAATCTGAGTGTCCAGAAAAAGAAAAGTTACCACAAGAATGGAAGAAGAAAAGTTGGATACAGAAACTGATTATTTTAAGAGCAGTGCGCCCGGACAGGATGACATACGCTCTCAGGTAGGGCAGCTGACACTTCTGGAAATGCAAGTTAACATGGAGGAAACTTGGTCCTAGGGGTTAGGGGGGATTGGTGGAAGTGTCAACTGTCCATTTTGATGTGGTGTGATTCTGCTGAGATTCTGATGTTTCAATCAGTGCTATTGTTAAAATTCACTAACCACTCAACAGTGTGCTGGTCTATTGGCAGAACCAGCATATATCCTTCTTGAAAAGCTCAATTTTGAAATCAGAAGGGGAGATGGGGAATCTGATGGAAATATTCTTAGAAGAGAGATGGTGTCAGCAGAGTTCAAAGGCCGGGAACATGCATTATCCAAGAACAATTTCCATCATCTTTATTCAGTGGTAGCATTTTGGCTCTGAAGATTTAGCATGTCAGACCAAAAAAAAAAAAAAGATCCTTTTATGGAGCAACTCAGAATCCTATAACTTTACAACCAATGCAATTTAAAAGCAGAAATCCTTGTCTACATCTCTATTCCAGTGTCCTTTTTCTTTGCCCTTTTGGCTTCTAAATGGTAATATGCTGCTTAATTCACACAAGTCTTATTCTAATTTGAGTTCACCAACCTAAGAGTTCTTGACTTCCTCCCCTGTTGTGCTCCTCTTTCTTCAGTAGTGTTCATGTACCTCAGTTTTTTCCTTTGCTTTGTCTAGTTCAGCCAATTTTCCCTTTGCAGAAACCTCTGCTGATCCCTACTTTACAAGTTAATTCTGCTTAGTAGTACTTACTTTCTGCTAAATCTGATGCTGCTGGAAAATAATCTCTGCTTAATTGAGCTTCCCTGTGTTAGAAACACCCCAAAAAGCATTTGTATATTCATGAGAAGCCCAGCAGGCTGGAAAATTGCACTGTGGCAAATCTAATGAACTGTTAATAAGTAATCGGGGAATCTGGCAGGGGATTTGGGGGATACAAAACCATATGCAGGCAGGTGATGGTACTGGGGGGGGTAATCTCAGAAGCCCCCCAAACAGAATGTAGGCCTCTGCTTTTCCGAGTTTCATAAGTACAGAGGGGTTTCATGGATACACCTCCTGCATAAATCTAGTTGGATTCATACAGTCATTCTAAAAAGCCACCCCACATAATACATGTGGCTTGCTTCTTTTCCTGTGTTTATGATTTAGGCTGATCCAAGTGAAGATGCTTTTCAAGATTGAAATCAATTATCATGTTTTAGCATATTCTTTTTTTAATAGAAATTTTGTGGAGGAAAAATTGGGTGCAAAGTATGTGGAGAGGACCAGATTGGATTTAGGAAAAGCATTTGAAGAAAGCAGCCCAGCCACGCCAGTATTCTTCATCCTGTCTCCAGGGGTGGATGCCCTTAAAGACCTTGAGGTGCTTGGTGAGTGGCCAGGGGGCTTACTGGCCTGCCCTTCCTCCCTATCTTTTACCTGCTGCCCACATGCCCTTCCTTTCTGTTCACAGTTGTCTTTTTTTTTTTTTTCATTTGTTGGAGATTGGGTGTATGGAAAATGTAAGACTAATAACACTGCAGTCTGAAGAAATGTTCAAACGGAACATTCATCTGGTTGGCATCATGCAAGTTTCTTTTGTACTGTTTCCCACCTTTTGAGTAGATGAGGGCCAGAGGGCAATTTTCTCCATGCTCATATAATCTTGTGCCCCCTGTAACTAAATAATGGTCATTAGAGCAAGTCTATTTGATTGTGCAAGGCACTGGCGCTTTGTGCTGCGGATTACTATTCCCCACGGTCTACACCAGGAATACCAGGTTAATGTAGCTGTGACCTGACTGTGCTCAATTTAAATGCGGCCTCACAAGGTGAGAGCTTGTGCATTTACCCAATGAACCGATCCTTCAAAAAAAAAAATGTGATATCTACCACATGTTGCTCCTTTATATGAGGGAAATGCTTTGCTACTCCTGCAGGAGTTTAGAAAGCTCCCTAACAATGCTGCCATCTATCAAAATGTCAAAAGCTTTATTATCATAAATCCAAAGGAACTGACTTCCACAGGCTTTTCTAATGCTTGCGGGAAGGCAGCTGTGGAGAGCTCACAAAGCCACTTGTGGAAACCACAGAGGTCTAGTTCAGATTCTCCAGGAAGGTGACCTGGAAGATGGCAGCAGTGACCACCGATGTACATTAGATCACTAAATTCAGACTCTCCTCACCTCTTTTCCACTGACATTTCCTCTCGCCATGTTGTATTCCCCCACAGGCAAAAGACTTGGGTTTACAATTGACTCAGGAAAATTCCACAATGTGTCTTTAGGACAAGGTCAAGAGACCGTGGCTGAAATGGCACTGCAGAAAGCTTCCAGAGGAGGACACTGGGTCATGCTCCAAGTGAGTATTAAGTCTTCCTAGAAAGTGACTGGGCACAGTGGCACATGCCTATAATCCCAGAGGTTTGAGAGGCTGAGTTCAAAGCCAGCTTCAGCAAAAGTGAGTTGCTAAACAACTCAATGAGACCCTGTATCTAAATAAAATACAAAATAAGGCTGGGGTTGTGACTCAGTGGTCGAGTGCCCCTGAATTCAATCCTTGGTCCTTGCCCCCCACCAGAAAAAAAAAAAAAAAAAATATATATATATATATATATATTTCCCCCCCTGGAAAACACTGAGCATGAACACAGGATAATGCAGAGCCACACTGCCCAGAGAGGGGGGAAGGGGTTTCTCATCATCACACATGGGGATTCAAGGAGCCAGGTGAGCACTCTCACTTCATGATACCTCTATGGGAATTAGGGACTCTGCTGAGAGGGATGATTCTCTTCCTTGGAGAGCCTGCCTAGTGCTTTAAAATTTTTAAATATTAGGAAGAATCCCATTTGTCTCCTGACTTACAGATGTCTGCAACACTACTGTAGCACTTGAGGACAAACAGGCTCCTAGAGATTGCCACCCTGTTGCTATGGTAGTAGCAGAAGTTGCATGTTGCTTTAACGTTGACAGAGTCCAGTGTGTATACACACACACACATTTATACAACTCTCACTGCCCCTAAGCATTTGGGTAGCTTTCTCTTGGTTTGTAAATTAAGGAGATTAGATCATTCCTTCCTCCCTTCTAGGGTTGGCATTACACAGGTATGTGATTCTACTAAATGGTAGAATCTTCTAGGGTGGTTTTCTTAGCCAGGGATTCTAACAGGAGCCCATGGAGCACAGGCCATCTCCAGGGGCCCCTGGGAGCTGTGCTGACTCCTCAGGCAAGCCCCTCTAGCTGTCAGCAGGTCTGGCAGCAGCCATTTGATTTGAGACACAATGATCCCGAAGATTACCTTGAGTAGGTGATCACAGGATACCTTATCTCCAATCGTTACAGTAAAGCTCCACAGATAAGTATTGTTTCCCATAGAACCTCTAGCATCCAGTATGTTGACACATGTTGTATTTTGCTTGAAATCAACTGGGTTCATAATGAAGCTGCCCAGAGTCCAAGGAGGCTTTCATCTGTAGGAATATATCCTTCTGTATTAATAATACCCACTGCTCAGATGACCTTGATAGAGAGCTTGGGACTTGGGATGGTGATGCTTCCCCTCCTGAGGCTCAGAATCAGATGTGCTAGAGTGGAGGTTTGTTTTTTCCCCCAGAGACAGCAGTTATTGCTCATCTACTTCAAAAATACTGAAATCTTCCCCAAAAGAAAGAATCTATTGAGAGTTCTCATGCACCCAAGAGCTCAGTACTGGAGAAAAGAGTAGAAGGGGTACAGTCATCCTCAAAAGAGCCTATGATTAGAGCCAGGTGTGTGTGGTGGTATGTGCCTGGAGTCCCAGCTACTCAAGAGGTAGCTGTGGTCCAAAAGACAGGACATAATTGAACTTAGAAAACGGGTTTTGTTACTCACTTTCCTGATTGGTATACTTAGGTATGAGAAGAACTCTTGTTAGAACCCCATAGCAAGCATGTAGGAGAGGAAACTTGGGTCTTTACTGGATTCATTTCCAGGGCTGTCAAGTCAAGGTGTCATAGACTGCATGACTTAATCCACAGAAATTTAATTTCTTGCAGTTCTGGAGGCTGGAAGTATGAGATCAAGGTGACAACTGGTCTGGTTTCCTCTGACACCTCCCTCCCTGACTTATAGATGGTCAAACTTGCGTATGTCTTTATCTGGTTTTATCAAGGCATCAGTCATATGGGGACATATGACTTTATTTAGTCTTAATTACCTCTTTGAAAGACTCCATCTCTGAATACTAATTGCATTGTGAAGTACTGGAAGTTATTGCTTTCACACCTGAGTTTTGGAAGGGACATAGTTCAGCCCAGGACTCCTGGCAATGTTCAGTATTTGCTATGGGAATAAAAGCCTAATGATGTGAACAACTGAATTGGCATAGGTCTTCCTACAACAAAAATTTCAAAGAATGCCTACGTTACTATTCCCTTCCTTGTTTGCCTTCGCCCTCTCTATTTCTGTACATATTATAATCTTAAACATTTTTCTTGTTGGAAATAATTATGTGTCCCTGGGTGTGATGTTTTAGTCACTGTTTCACAACGTCTCCAAAACTGGAGGGCATATCAGATACAGCCTTCAGACCTCTCCTCCAGTACCAACGACCAGTCTCCACCCGTGAGTGTTTAGTGTTGAAAGAGCACATTTGTGAATCACAAGATAATTGTGATGATGATGGTGGTGTTTGTGGTTTTGTGTGTGTAGCTTTTGACAGCTCTTTAATTTAAGAACAATGTCATGTTACAAATACACACATTCATTCTTAACAATAAATATTTGAAGTAGGTACATGTTTAGGAGGACATTCTGGTTTACAATGACAAATTCAATGTGAAACATTTAATATATTCAATATTCAACTGTTTTACCTTTTCCCCCCTTTTCTAACATAAAAAAAAGAAAATGTAAGTCATTGTTCTGAGTTTTAAACACACACACATATATGCTTGTGTGTATATATATATGTTAGAAAAAGTTCTGATACTAGAATTCAAGTAATATGCTAAAATTTTATAGGAATCATAAGCCATACTGTCTTTCAGAATGTCCATTTGGTAGCAAAATGGTTAGGAACCTTGGAGAAACTTCTTGAAAGATACAGCCATGGAAGCCATGAAGATTACAGGGTGTTCATGAGTGCTGAGTCTGCCCGTACACCCGATGAGCACATCATCCCTCAAGGACTTCTGGAAAATTCCATTAAGATCACCAATGAGCCTCCCACAGGAATGCTAGCCAATTTGCATGCTGCTCTGTACAACTTTGATCCGGTAAGAAAGCAGAAGCAACCTGATCTGACAATAAAATCAGAGTTCTCACAAGACTCTAGAGACCATCTTCAACTCATGTGTCTCAGAGGATTGGTGTTAACAGCTCTGAGGGGAGGTGTGTATGAATGTGTGTAGAGTGTGTGTGTGTGTGTGTGTGTGTGTGTGTGTCTGTGTCTTAGTTTCTTAAAAGAACTGCCCTAGTCTGATGACTCAGAAATATATTTAATTTTCCCACGAAAACTATAGCCACATGTATAAGATATATAAACTCAATAATGCTTGAGGAACTTTCTCAAACTAGTATCTCTTACCACAGAAAAAGGAAAAGATTTTTTTTTTTTACCACATTTCACTGCCTAGTTGTCACAAATTTTATGCAAATTATGTTCCAAGAAGTGGAGTGAAACCATCATGTGAAGTTTTTCTTTATAATTGTGCCAGTAGTACTTAAGAATAATTTATTACTAAACTGTCTTTGGCACAGGATTAGGATGCACACAATCCTCATAAATATATGTTAACACAGTAACAGTTCAGTGGTGAAATACAGTATTCTTATGGATGTGGATGACTGTGATGACAAGGAAAAAGTTTCAGTATGATGTTTCAGATCTGGTTTTTCTTTTTTTAGTTGTAGATGAATGCAATACCTTTATTTTATTTATTTATTTTTATGTGATGCTGAGGATCAAACCCAGAGCCTCACACATGCTAGGCAAGCGCTCTACCACTGAGCTACAATCCCAACCATCAGATCTCATTTATATTACTAAATTCAAAGTCCCCCCTTTTTTTCAGATTATAATCATGATAGCTTCTTATTTATATTTTAATTTCCTTTCAAAATAAAACAAATTAATACGTGTATACATGAATGATAGCCCAATTACCATTACTCTCGATACTCAAATTATTGTATCTATCTGTATCAAGACCAAGTCTTTCATTTTCCTTTGTTTCTATTTCTTTGTGTTCCTAGCTCTCCTTCTATTTTTTTTGAAATTCTAGGTAAATAGCAGTCTTATTAAAAATAGAATAAGTTGTGAAGAAGAAATAGACATGATTTGGTGATGATTATTCAGGCCCCTATTAGAAACGTTATCATTTTCCTTGAAGCCCCCCAACACACTTAACTTGTTCTCCAGTACTTTTTGGACCAATACCTAAACCAACTTTATGAGAAAATTATAATAATAGGCCACTTTAAGAATACAGTGTTGAAAAACATGGCTAATTTCTTAAATAATTGTGTAATTTATAGGCTATAGATATACAGAAGACTGTGTAAGCAATAGGCATTTGAAAATCTTGTTGAATCTTTTAAATATCTGCAATATGGCTTTTTAAGTGCACTATGGCAGACATATATTTGTCTTTTCATCATCTCTTAATTGATAATTTCTAATCAGTTATGACACTTTCAAGTTCTTCCCTAAAATAAGTGTAAAAGAGAGGAACTCGATATATTTACAATTTATCCATTCCCCTAAAAGAACTGTCTTAAACATGAAAGCGGGCATCTCTTGAACAAATATGCTTTTGCCCAATTATCCTTCAGCTTCTTATTTATTTATTTATTTGCTTGCTTGTTTATTTATTTATTTTTTGGAGGGGTGAGAATCCCCTTTGAGAATCTGATAATACTTTAGATATTTTCTCTAGAAAAATGCATATTCAAAAACATGTTGTATATAATGATAGAAGATTGTCCCAAAGCCTATGCATGAATTCTCCAGTTAAGAACACCCGTTCTAGTCTATTCTTGAAAGTAGCTGTTCTTCTGACTGCCATATAGAAAGTCAGAAAGACTTTTAAGAACTTTAAGGAGAACTGTTTTTTTTTCTAGTGGGAGGAATACTCTTTTTTTGTTTATCTTTGCTTCTGGGTGTCTAACCCATGGCCAATATTCAATCAGTGAGCTACATCTGCAGCCCAAAGAGAATACTCTTAAGTGTTAAGGCTAAATTTGACCATATATAGCAAAAGGAAAGATCACCCACGTGATCCACTAAACTTCTCAAACCTATTTTATCCAAAATGAAAAAAAAAAAAAAGTCTAAGGAAGAGTCTTTAGTGAATGTCCACTTGTCATTATGTTTGAAAGTAAAATGCAGTTTTTAAAATGTCATTCAAGGGTATCAGCCTTGTCCTCCATGGCTATCTGTGAATAAGCTCCCAGCACTCTTTATCAGTCCAGATTCAAGTTGGCTACTTTTAAATGAAGTTCTTACAAAACAACAATGGCTTAAATGGGTTAAAAAATATTCCTGCCACGTGAGAGTTCTGGGTGCAGGCCCTTCAGAACTCATATGTGTCACCAGAAGATTGTCAGTAACCACATTTTTTACAGCTTACCATTGCACTATATTTAGGATACACCCATCATGTCCCAGGTGGTTGAGAGTATTGCCATTCCCATGTCCATGTGATCAAGAGAAGGGCAAGAGAAGAAACAAAGATGATGGCCAAGGGAACATGTTTGTTGTATTTTTAAAAAAGATGGTTCCTACAAATTAATACTGTAGTCCCATGTCATCTGTGGGGGAAAACAGATGACATGGGACTACAGTATTAATTGAAACCAAGAGTAGCAACAAGTCCTTTGTGTACTCTATTTTTTCCTGTGATATATACCTATGATAAAGTTTATAAATCCAGCACGGTAATAGATTCATAATAACAACTAATAATAAAATAGAGTAACTATAGCAAAGTGCTATGAAAACTATTTAAAACTTTTGAACTGTTTCTGGAATTTTAATATTTTTGGATGGTGGTTGGCCACAGGTAATTGAAAGTACAGAAAGTGAAACTACAAATAAGGGGTAACTACTATACATTTAAATATTTGCAATATGGCTTTTTTAAGTGCACTATGGCAGACAAAGATTTCTCCTTTCATGTTACTGATCAAATGTAATCACATTGCATTACCTAGCTGCAAAAGAGGCTGGTAAAAGCAGATTTACCTAATCATATGCCTAGCTAAAAATCAGCAATAAAACATTAAGACAGGTATAGAGGTCTCTGTAACAGTTTTACTCGTGTCTTCAAATCGCCTTGCGCATTCTCTATTGCTGCCATGCCCAGTCTGATTAAAGTGTGTGATATGAGTAGAAAGTGGTGCATACTACCTGCTATGTCACCCAAGTGGGTTAAATAAATGTGTCCCAGTTGTTCTTGTTGCCCAGATGCCCCTCTTAGCTAAGGAAAACACCCAAGGGGACTAGGCAAGTAAATGTTCTGTTTGGGTGTTTTTGTATGCTTTAGTTTTCAAATCAAATCAGATCTGTATTTTTCATCCTCTCGAATTAGAATGTACCTCCTATCGTTGGAGGCACTTAATATTAGTGCTTTATTCCCTTGAGAATTCTAGGAGAATCATGTGAATCTGATCATTAAAGTGACAAAGACATAAGGAACCATTTTTTTTGTAGGATGCTTACCAACATCCATCTCTTTCAGTGTATTAGCATTTGCCTTTTGAAAAATGTCAGAAAGGAATACTGTTTGGGCTCTTTTCATACTAAAATAACCATATTTTTTTAAGACTAAGAATATGCATTTCTATTTCTGTGAAATTTGCAAGCAGAAACAAATAAATGGTAATTATGCATGTGAAGCCAGAGGCTCCGGGCCAGATAGCACTATCATGTATGTGTAAATTCATGTTCTCTGTTCACAATGTTATTTGTATATTTTCTGATATTAATTTGCTCATCATTTGGCTTGTAAAAATACAACTGGCCTGAAATATGGAATGGTAGGTAGACTCATACTTTTTCTTAGAGAAACCTGATTCATAATTTTGTTCATCAGCATTTATGTTATCAGAGCATAAGGAAATGGACATTGACACATACTTTTTAGAACTGAGGATAAAACCAAGTTATATGAAATAATAGATTGAGTTGATGTACTTCACTATTATAGTATTTGGGGTCTTATGTGACCTATCTGTCATTCAAGAGGCTGTTAAATGTCTTGCTAGATCATAATTCTGATGTGAAATTTTGATACTTATAGTGGGTCTCCTAGAAATTTCTTACACATGAACATATTTTTATATCCTTCAAGCTTAATTCCAATTATTTGGTTTTTCTTTTCTTCTTTTACAAGGTTGCCTTTTATTTGATGTTTAATTGTGGAAAAGTTATTTTTGATGATTATACATTGCCAAATCCCATAAGTTACCAAAAATGACCTGATGATTTAGAGAGACCTACTGACTTTGTTGGGTCTGCACTATACGTAGCCTGGCCAATTCTAGAACTGTATGTGGTGGTACCTGTGATTCTGATTGAAAGCATTATGGAAAGAAAGTAAACATTCTTTTGGTTCTGACCCACAGGGAAAAAAAAAAAATCTAGACTTGGTTTAGTACCAGCAGTCCCTTGGGAGACCAGAACTGAACTCCTTTCAAAAATCCTAAACATATTTTGAATAATGTCCATGTTGTCAGCTCCATCTGAAATTTTGACTGGCTGTAGTTTGACATCCTAGACAGTAATGTATAGATTGTGGCCTAATTGTCCCTTCCTGCCTAATACTAGCTGCAGGAGTTATCTCAACATCTTTTTGTTGTTTTCCACCTAGAACTGCCAACCTTGAGTAAAGTACATCTTCAAACTGTAGACTGGACAGCTGTTTTCTGCCTTCTTGTTTTACAGCTGTTGGGGCTCTAACCAGATCAGTGTAGCATGCTAGGATTCTACTTTTCCTCTACATTTTCAAAAACAAATCCTGCTAATCTAGTCCAAAGGCATTCCCACAGGCACAAGTTTTCCAATCCTTCCTGTGTCATTCACACATCCTAAGAGTAAATTTTACTCCTAGTTCATTGGAAGGAGACTGTGTGTCACAGTGGTTGTATTAGCTAAGGTCAAGCTGAGCTGCTATAACAAAGAGAATATCACAGTGGTGAGTCGAGCAAGACAGCAGTTTGTTCTCTCAAACACACTAGGCCGATCTATTCCTCCATCATCCACCTCCCATGCCTGACTCAAGGCTATCCTCTCATCATTTCTAGCCTTCAGAAAAGGGAAAAGAGTGACAGCGAGGGTAAGCCATTTTCTATTAAGCAAACAACATGGAATTTATATACATCAGTTCTGCTCAAATTCTGTTGACAAAAACTTGGTTATCTGGTCCCTCTGGTTTGAAGGGAGGTGAGAAACAGTCTTCCAGCAGGTGGTCATGTGTCTAGATGATCTTTATTACTGTGAAACCAAGGAATGTATGGGTGAGAACAATGGATAGCTATGGTTAACTAGCATTCTACTGATGATGATTCTAAGGCCATGAAATGTTTTACAGGGGGAAAAAATGACATCCAGCAGTCTTACCATGGTTAAAATAAATTGCCTCATTTTCTAGTGAACTTAGAAGCACTCAAAATAACAAGCAAAATGGGAAGATTCCTTTTAAATCAACAGAGACGAAAATATCAAATAGCTACCTCTTGTGCTCTCTTGGAACTATAGTTACCTCTGTAGAATATCTCCCTCGAATTCTTCACAAGAGTATTGAAAACTCAGACCTTTGCAAACCATATAGATAGTCATGCATTTTTTTTTTTCCTTTTCTCACAGGATACACTTGAGATGTGCTCCAAGGAACAGGAGTTTAAAAGCATCCTCTTTTCTTTGTGCTACTTCCATGCCTGTGTTGCTGGAAGACTGAGGTTTGGTCCCCAAGGCTGGAGCCGGAGTTATCCTTTCAACCCTGGAGACCTCACCATCTGTGCCAATGTCCTGTACAACTACTTGGAGGCAAATCCCAATGTAAGTACTAGTGGTCAGATGATACCTTCTAAAGAGTACACTGAACCTGTCAGTCTTTAGGCATTATCAAAAATGGACCATGATTTCTTTCTTGGAAGCTATTACTGAAATAGCTGACACTACATATGCCAAGTTTGAAAATAAACCACACCAACGGTTTTCCAGCAGTGGACGGTCGAACTTTATAAGATAGGTCAAAACAGTTCTACATCAGCAGCTTAGTGGAAAAAAAAAAATGTCCTTCATTATGTTAACAAAAACAGTGGTTTACATGTGCATATATGCTGGATTCATTAGGCAGGTAATGAAGCATTTGCACAAATGTAATTACATACAGCAATTCTGACAGTTCATAACACTGCATTAATAATCACTACAATTAGTTCTGATGATGGAAGCAATTTACAGTGCGTCACATGTATAAATAATGGTGCATTTCCCGCATATGTCATTATTATGTATTAAGGATGCCACCTTGTTGTGACTTTCTCAGTAACGTTCCCCTTGATTTGAAGTTAAAGGTAGATGAATGATTTTATTTTGTAGCTAAAATGTGTTTTACAGATGGGAATGGGAATGCCTCATCAAGAACAGTTGTGTAAACTCTTATAAACCCCATGATTGGATTTCAAAAAGACCCATTCGTTCCGAAGGAGATCCTGGTTTAATCCTCACGTGGGGAACTTTTTCCATTAAGTCTGTTAAAATTGGGATATATTTGTCAAAATCAACCAGGTGTTGGACTCTCAGCCAACTCTCAGTTCTATAAAGGGCCTTTAAAGTCACCCATGCACGTGTCTAGGGAAGCATGGTTTTTTGATGTTCTTTTGGTTTTTATCAGTGTTTTCTTAAGCTTCAGTGTTGATTCGACTGCTGGGTACACAGCATGGGTATGTGCTCCCAAGGAACAAATTTTGAGCAAATTGTTTCCAAAATAAATGGTTTTAATATAGTTTGTGACAATCAATATTCCCTATCTTTTTTTTTTTTTTTTTTAATTTATGAAACTAGAGGCTGGGGATGTGGCTCAAGTGGTAGCGCGCTCGCCTGGCATGCGTGTGGCTCGGGTTCAATCCTCAGCACCACATACAAATAAAGATGTTGTGTCTTCCAAAAACTAAATAAATAAATAAATTTATGAAACTAAAAGCTAAGTCAACATGCCTGAAAGCACGCTTTGACTGAAGGAATGATTTTCTTGTGTTGATCTGTTTTGTTTATAATGTTAAACACATAAAATTGATTATTAGAATCATTCTGAGTAAAAAGATAAGTGGCACCTTTGATACTTAAGTTCAAGTCCTACATAACTGTCCCATGAAGATGAGCCCAGGAATACTGTCCTATATGAGCTGAGCCCTGTATACAATGGAAGGTAGAAATGCAGCAAGAAGGGAGCTGCTAGGTATTTGTCTCCAGCTCTCATGTCCCAGTCTGGCAACACTGCTTGGCCAATTAAATTGTCTTGTGTCCTGCTGCTTCTCCCAGTGGGGTCCAGGGTAAATGCAGCTTCAGGTTTTTAACATAGTCTCATGTGTGACTCAAACGTCTGCATCCAAGTCATTTGCTATACATCACAAAGCAAGCTGTCACGTTTTGGGAAATAAGTTAATAGGTGCACATAGTTTAGTTCAAAATGCCCCTTTCAAGAAGGTATGTGTTGGGACCGGGGTTGTGGCTCAGTGGCATGGCAGAGCCCTTACCTAGCACATGCGAGGCACTGAGTTTGATCCTCAGCACCACATAAAAATAAACAAAATATAAGTATTGTGTCCATCTGCAACTAAAAAAAAATTTTACAAAAAGAAGGTATGTGTGAAACACAAAGATCGAGAGAGAATCACTTATTGAAAAGAACAGACCCTCTAGCTAATTAAAGTTTTCATGAAGATCCAGAACAGGCATTAATTAAATGTAACCAGAAGGGGAAATCAAATCAAGGGGTCTCTTTTACTCCACTTCAGCTCTATGGAAGGTCCACCCATGTAGTGGTACCTGGTGCATGGTGTAGAGAGCGTGCTGTAGCCTAGCCTCTTGTTTCTCATTCACATCAAGTCAGGGTAAAAGAAAGACATATTTGAGGTTCATTTATTCAAATTCAAATAAACTCGTAGCGAGTACACTGGAATAGTCGAAGCAATTTCACTTGTACTGTTCTGTCACATCGTGCAACAAGCGAAGGCTATAATTACGTTTTTACTTGAACCGTTGGGAGGCAATAGACTGCCCCAAGGGTATAAAGGTTCCTGTCTACGAAGGCTTCATCACAAACTGGCATGTTTTGTAAACCTGGAAGAAGCTAAAGGGGAGCAGAGAGAGGCTTCAAACCCTGCTAAGCCAAATGAAGAGGTGATACAGTGGATTCTTGAATAAAAATGGTACAGTCATTGGTTACAACCTTTATATCATTTGGCCAGTGAGGCCATAAACCAAGCCCTCAAGTCAACCCATGGGGCAAGATTGGTTTGTTGAGAATTCCAGAAGGTGATAGAATTCAAAATATGCCCCAAATTCAAATTGTCCAGCTATTTCTTTCTTTTCCTGAATCAGATCATACAAACTGATATAAATCAGGTCATAAAAACAGGTAACACTTCAAAGGTTCTCAGAACCAACATCTTCTCAAGATTTGGGGATGAGATCTTGAACAAATAAACTTTCCCTGCTGTAACATGTCCTAGGAATGAATCCATTTCCTTTGAAATCTGCATTAAAAGTACAGTGTTCGTAAATTTTCACCAAATATATTAGAACTCATAAAAAATAATTCTCCCAACAAATTCTGCAGACTTAGATGCTACTTGTACCTCTTTTAATGTTATTGTTTGGTTTTGGAGTTTTTTTTGTTGTTGTTGATTTTGGTGCCAGGATTTGAACCTAGGGATGCTTTACCACTGAGCTACATCCCCAGATCTCAAATATTTTAATTTTGAGATAGATTCTCACTAAGTTCCTAAGGCTGGCCTCAGATTTGCAATCCTCTTGCCTCAGCCTCCCAAGTATCTGGAATTACAAATGTGCACCACTATGCCCTGCCTTCCGCTCTTCTTTTAAATGACCCTGACGACAGGGGCTTCAGGATGTTGTTAGTGGGGCAGGTGTCCTCTGGTTGGCCCTGTGGAGGCAGGTGCTTTGGGATCAGAAGTGAACATTTGCATGCTTTTGCCCCAGGTCCCGTGGGAAGACCTCCGTTACCTCTTTGGTGAGATCATGTACGGGGGCCACATCACAGATGACTGGGATCGCAAACTGTGTCGGGTGTATTTAGAAGAATTCATGAATCCATCTCTGGTAAGTCCTGTTTAAATTAATTCACCTGAGGAAAATGTTCTGGTAAGAATTTCTAAAACTTAATTTCATTCTACAGATGATTCTTGAGTGTTATTGAGGATTCTTGCCCTTTTGTGAGTGTGTTTTGGTCTACTTCCAGTGGGGTCTGATAATTTGTTAGGAATGTAGAATGTCAGGCCCCTTCCAGGATAGATAAAATTAGAATCCACATTTCTAGAAGACTCCACCAGGTCATTTCTGTGCTTGTGCAATGTATCAAGGTAAAGCGCTCTCACACACCAACTTGGTGATCTCTCTCAACCCTGTGAGCTGTGCAAATCCAACAGTACTGCTCCGCCTCAGACCTAAACATGGAGGCATGTGACTGGCCCCAAGCCACTATGTGTAGACAAAAGCTTTGGCCAGAATAGTAGTCTTTTAACTTCAATTGCAGAGCTCATTTCACTAGTTTTATTGTTTTGTTTTGTTTTGTTTGGATATTTTTTTGCTTGTCACAAGTATCATGGACCAATCTAAATTTTGATCAGTAACACTTACAAAATAGATGCTCAAGAAAAATGTGGTGGATAAGCCTGTGAGGTGATGGGTTTGTTAGCTTGATTTAATATTCCACAATGTAAACCTGTTTCAAAACATCACATTATTATTCATAGTTACTGTCAATTAAAAATAAAACCTAGCCAGGCTATAAAACAAAGACATATAGTATCAAACTTGTATGATCCGAGAATCTTATTTGGATCTTGTTTCAAACGATAACAAAAAAAAAAAAAATATGACACAATGAGAAATTAATATATAATGGAAATTCAGTTCCTATTAACATTTTATATAAGAAAGTAATCTAGTTATGTTTAAAAAGAACAATGTGTTGATTTGAGAAGCTGGTTTTCTTATTCTGTGAGGAAGGGGTAGATTATCACTGTGCTGGAAGATCAGGCCTCTTTTCTCATGTTAACCCTGTGTCTGTGGACAGGGCTGTGTTTTTTATAAAAATAATAGGTTCTTGTTACTCACAAAGGAAGCTAACAGTGGGTAGCCCTGCTTTCCTCATGTTCCTCTCTCATGTTCAGGTTCCTGGTTATTTTCCTGAAAGCCGTTTATCAGCTTTCCATTACTATGACAAAAAAAAAACAACATGAGTTAGTCAACTTAAAAGGAGAAAAGGTTCATTTTGGCTTATGGCTTCAGAGGTTTTAGTCCATGGTTGCTTGGCCTGGGGCAGCACAGTCTATCATGGTGGGAGCACATACATGGTGGGGGTTTGTTCACCTCACCACAGGGAAGAAGCAGAGGAAGGAGTCAGGCCTGATACTCCCTTTGAGGGTAGGCCCACAGCTATGTCAAGAACTCCAATTAGGCCCCACCTCTTAAAGGTCCCACCACCTCCCAGTGGCACCACAGGCTGGTGACCAAACAATCAACATGTGGCCGTTGGAGGCCACTTCCCAACTACAACAGCACCCTACCACATCTCATTTCTCTTCCCAGTTGGGCAAGACACTTACTAGTTAGAGCCAGAGTATTTGTTTGTTTGCTTGTTTTGAAGTAGCCCGAGCAAACTCTAAATTTCTTGGAAACCTCCCTCTCAGAGAAGTGCTGTACAGAGCCGATCACCCTCCTCCAGCTCATTTTGAGAAGTACTACGACCATATACTTGAGAACCTGGTGTACTCTCGTCTACCTGTAAAACTGGCACATTATTTTTCACTACTTTGAATGTCAAACAATTTAGGGACAAGGCAGAAGAAAGACAGAATTCCCTGCTACGTGACCATCCTTTACGTGTTTCTGTTCATTGCCAGTCTGGTCTTCCTGGCTTTTAATGATCAGGATTTCACGTGTCCAATATATTTCCAACTTACCACTGCTGAAGTTGCTCCTCTGGAGAGGTCAAGAAGCACGTTACCATGGAGACGGGAAAGCTAAACAGTGCCTGAGAGCAACCTTTACAGAGGCTGATATCTCCAAATGATGCAGAGGTCAAGGGGCAGAGCAGGAGGCTCATGGAGACATTCCTTCCCCTGGCTCTGGCCTGTGGCTGCGGGAATTACTGTTGCCAAATGAGACAGTCCATTAACCTTCACAAGTCTGAACTCCCATTCAAATAATTGTAAAATAAATATAGGTGCTGCAACCTGAGGGGCATCACTGGTGTGTATGTAAGCCCTTTAGAGATGTAGGTACCTGACCTGCCACACAGATCTGGTGAGATGTTCAGGATCCAAGTGCTTCATTTGCAAGCTTGTGTCCCCACTGGACAGCGCTACCTTCTCATTCACCCAGGGAAATGAACGCACTTACTGACTCCATGTCAGAGGCTGCAGATCTATTATTTTGTTCTCATGCAAATGTTTCCTGCTCATGCTGTTTATATGATTAGCAATATGATCTAATGCTTTGCATCCTCAGGATGTCTTTTTGCCACTTTTCACATTGGTTGATGTATTTGCAATATAGTATCATTGGTTATATTGGAACATGATCAGAAAGCAACCGATTAATGGGTTGGGTTTAAAGTTCTTTTATGAGTGATATTTTGCTGTTTGGAGGAATTACAAGTTTCTGGGCAGATAAAGGAATTTTGCCTTCAGAGAGAGTATCCCACTGACTGAATCTTTGCTCAAACTTAAGGACAAAAACACATTCTCATATAACACATATACTTGGCAGAAGTACGTTAAGTAATGCAGTAAATTATTTTGGGAAAATAATGTCTTTGGTCATCTGGAAGTTATGTTCTGCAAATTATTTTGATGATATATACTAAGGATTAAGAGCTTGGGCTTCATGTAAAATCTTGTATTGGCTGTGTGATCTCAGACAAATTACTGAACTTCATCATCTATAAAACAAGAATGACCAACTCATACAGTTGTTGTCCAGTGTAAACATTCATAGTGTTAGAACAATATTCTTAATGTATGGGAAATATTTTTATTAAGTGTAAATGTTTGTAACACAAATTTTATATTTCACTGAATACTACTTTATCTGTGGTAACAATGGAAGTTATTTATTAAACACACTTGCTGGGCCAGGGGTATCACACATTTCTCACTACTTGATCATTTCATTTAACCAAAAAGGAACTCGGGCTCAGGGAGATTTAACAGCTCATAAGCAGCAGAACCAGGATGTGAACGTGCTGTGGGAAAGGCCAGTATCTCTACACCACCCTGCACTGGCTGGAGTGCTGCCCAGTTTGAGGTGGTTGCAGCATAGGCCACAAAACACTGAGCCACGTGTCCTTTTCAGTATGTTCATGGCTGTACAACCATTATTACAATCTTCATCATACACCAGAAAACCCCTGCACCCATTAATGGTCCTCATTTGCCCCAGTGCTCCCCCCATACTGGCTGAGGGGCATCACTGGTGTGTATGTAGGTCTGGCTACTTCCCAGACCCTGGCAACCACAATCTACTTATTATGCTTACCTGTTCCGGGGATTTTATTTAAATGCAGTCTTTCAATATGTGGCCTTTTGTGTTTGGATCATGCACATGGTAGCATGCATCAGAACTTCACTCTTTTTTATGGCCCAATAGTCCTCCATTGTATAGGTACATCACATGTGTCTGCCCACCAGTGGACACTGGGCTGCCTCAGGCTTGAGGCTATTATGAACAATGTTGCAGTGCAACTGCAGGTATAAATTTTGTGCAGATTTATTTTTTTAATTCTTTTGGGAGTGTACTAGGAGTGGAATTGCTGGGTCCAGTGGTAACTGTTTAACATTTGGAGGAACCACCAAATTGTTTTCCAAAGTTATTGCACCCCTTTATATTCCCATCAGCAAATTAAAAGTTCTGTTTCCTTGCCACCCTCACCAACACTATTAATGTCCCCATTTTTTATTCTACCATCCTGATGGCGGTGAAGTGGTGTCATTGTCATAGTTTTGCTCTGCACGGAGGGAGGTTATTTGAGAAAGTGTTTTAATGCCTTAAAGAATTACCCATTCTAAAGAGACATTTCTCCGAACAACCTTGGTCCAAAGGTGGCCACTGTAGAGAGAACTCTGCAGTTAGGGCCCTATCAGCAAGCAGCAGGTTATCATAAAAGCCTGAGAGGAAAGAAGGCCTGGAGTCAGAATCAGAATTCACAGAGCTCCAGAAGTATATATCTTTAGTTTGATCTCTTTAGTTCTCTCACAATAAAAGGGGATGCAAGTTTATGAACCAAACCTTGCTTTTCAAACTTTACTTGTTGGGCACCAAAGTAGGAATTTACAGGGCATTTTAGATTTTGTTTTTCGTCCCAGAAAAGCAAGATGTACTTAAAATAACCGTAAAGATGTCCATAAAATAACCATCTGCCCCTAGGGCACAGGGAAGACCAAAACAAACATTTGTACAAGACTGCTCTAGGCCTAGATGTTTGCATACCTTATTAAATGTTCACAGCCACAACTATTAAGTTGCTATTATGAGCCCCATTTTACTGGTAAAAATATCTGAAATAAAGAGACTCATTTCTTAAAGCCACCCAGCCATCAAGGATGGGAATTGAACCCGATATGCCTGGCTGTGAGCCCTGAGTCCTTTCCCTTGGGCTTGGTGTTTCCTTTGCTTCACTTACACACTTACACATACAGAAGACCCCTTTCCCGTCTGTAGACTGTCTGGCGTTTCCAGAAAGCACGGGCTGTTTGCTTCCCACCAGCATTACAGAGTGTGCACTTAAATATTCAGCCCCCACAGCATCTTAACATCGCCAGGTGGTTCAGGTTTTAGTTAAATTTATGGCTTGAAATTGTTTTGAAGGACAGATTAACTTCAGCTTTTAAAAATTTCTTCCAGCTACCTGGTAAGCACTAACAGAGAAGACCAAGTCTTTGTAGAGAATAAAGTTCAATTTGGATGTATTTATCCTAATTTGGGATTTTGTTAATATTTTTGTTCATGTTTTTATTTGGGGTAATTTTATCATATGCTAATAATGGTGAGTTCAACTTTCCTATATCATTTTTTATCATTGCATCAAATGACATCTAAACTTTTTGTACATAAATATGAAATGATAAAAATGTGAGCAATTGAATATAGCCAAGTCCAAGGATACTGGTGGTGGGAGTCTCACTGGTTCCTTCCTGTATTTCTGTATAATATAAAGGATATGATAACTTAAAAATCCTTCTAGCACATACACATACAAAAAAACTGACTCAGATATTTAAAATGCCCTTGAAATTTATGGAACATGTGAGTATTTTGCTAAGGTCACAGCTGCTCTAGGCAATCCAAGATTGCAGGCAAGGAACAAGCCACCATTAGTCACCAACATGTCTGTGAGAAATCACGCTTCCCTTGCCCCCATGAGACTCAGTTCCTCAAGAACAAGGTCACATGACATTTTACACTTTCAAGGTTTACTGTAGTATACTGGGTGATCATATTATTGAATAAATTAGTAATTACTGAGCACTGTCTCCAGGTGACAAGGAGACATGGTACAATATGCACAATAGAGAAATCTCACTTTTAGAAAATAACTTAGAAAATCTAGGCAAAGCTATAGTAGATGAGAACTGAGATACGGAGTTGGGATATCTGAGATTATAAACACTTGATTATATTTGTGGCTGGACACAACTTGGGCCCATAAAGTGTTTGGTTACATTTTGGAGATCTGTATTCTCCATGTTTAGAGGATCTGGTATTGCTACCATTCATATTGCCTTTATTCAAAATGTCCCTGTCTGTGGAGTCTACCCCCTCATCCAGCCTTAATGAAATCGATGGGCACCTTTATGGTTTTCATTCACTAGGCAACCATGCACTGAGCACCAGCAAGTGCTGGCCACTGACCCAGAGCCTCAGGGGCTTGAGACAAATACAGACTTTGCTCTGAGTAGCCCAAGATCCAAGAGAGGTGACGTGAATTTGACTTAGTATATACCCTCTAGGTACTGGGAATGTCAGGGAGATGAAGTAGCATGTAACCGAGTGGCCAGGACACAGGGATGGCACAGCACTTGCTCATTCCTTCTGTGCGTATACCACGCGGCCCCAAGCACACTGCAAACTGATTCTCCCCCGAGAACAGGATTCCTGTGTGCACTTCGGAATCTTCCCCTGGTGCCATAAATAGAACAGAATGGTTGGTTTTGAAACATTTTAGAGCCTGCTACTCATCAAGCATTATCCTGGGACCTTCTGGACAGAATTCCAGTCATTTAGGAAGTGAAGACTTATGCCTATGTAGCTTTGAAGTAACCAACTTTTCCTTTATGATTAAAGATTGAAGATGAACTTATGCTGGCACCAGGATTTGCTGCCCCACCCTACCTAGATTATTCGGGGTACCACCAGTACATAGAGGAGGCACTGCCTCCAGAAAGCCCGACCCTATACGGCCTCCACCCAAATGCTGAAATAGAATTCCTGACAGTGACATCCAGCGCTCTCTTCCGAACTCTGCTGGAGATGCAGCCCAGGAACTTGATCAGCAGTGAGGAACTCGGCCAATCCATGGAAGAAAAGGTACTGGGCCTTTTCTAAAAATTGAGTTATATCTTACATACACCAAAGATAATCTTAAATGTACAACTCAGTGAATTTTTTGCCTCCACGTGTACACATTCATGTTATCCGCAGGTAGATCAAAATACAGAACATTTTCAACAGTCCAGAAAGACACTTGTGCCCTTACCAGCCAATGCAACTCCCCAGGCCCCAAAGAGTTTGCTTGTTTCTGAATTTCAAGTGCATGGGATAGTACAGTACATATTCACTTGTCAAGCTCCTCCGCCGCTGCGCTATGCCCGTGAGATACGTCTGTTGTTCATGTGCTTAGTATTCTATGATGTGACCAGTTATCCACTTTTATGAATACCACAGCCATGAGCCTCTTCGTACAGTCTCTTGCCAAGAAATTAACTTCTAAAGGTATCTGTTCCTAATACCCATTTTTCTATACCCAGAAGTGGGACTGCAAGATCACAGGGCAGTGTTAAAGCTAGCTTTTAATAGTACTTCCAGTTCTCTCACTTGGTCTACCAGTTACACTCCCACCAGCAGCGAGGGCATGTGGTTTCCAGTTGCTCTACCTTGAGACTTTGTAGGGGATAACAATCTCGTGTTGGTTTTCCTTGTGTTCCTCATATGTGGAATACTATTGAGCATCTTCTCGTGCAAAGTACTTATGACTTCCCTATTATTTGAGTTGTCAGTTTTTTTTCTCATGAACTTGCGAGAACTCTTTATTGTGGATGTGCATTCTTGATCAGGTATGTGAATTACAGGTAACTCCTCCAAATCTGTGGCTTGCCTTTCACTCATTTTCATGTGTTTTTGACTCTGTCATAATCTTTTTCACATAGTCTTGGGAGACTTTTTTTTGAAGATTTTTATTATTGAAGAATGATAGGGATGAAAAATGACTTTTTAATCTTTATTATCATTGTAGTATTGGCGATTGAACCCAAGAACAGACACCACTGAGCTACACCCCCAGCCTTTTTTAGCTGTATATGGACTCAATGCCTTTATTTGTTTTTACGTGGTGCTAGGATGAAACCCAGTGCCTCACACTTGCGAGGCAAGTGCTCTACCACAGCTACAACTCCAGCCCTAACTCCCCTCTTTTGAGATAGTCTCAAGTTGCTGAGGCTAGCCTCAAACTTACAATCCTCCTGCCTTAGCCTCTTGAGTCACTGGAATTACACACTTGCATCACTGTGCCTAGTTTTTTAAACTTTCACATTAAAATCTAGTTTCTCATTAATTTAAAACCTGAATAGCTGATTTTTCCCCAAAACAAATTAGCTCTTTTTTTTTCAAAATTATTAATCAGGATTTAATTGACCAGAATTCAGGTTGTTCAAATGATACTCACTAAACATCAGATATAACTGTAGTATGATCCCACAAACTGTTTATTTCTTGAACTTTTTCAGTTATTTTTTGAAACAAGGTTGTTCGCTGAAACACTTGTAATTTAGAAACTTTAGAATTTATTGTAGTATGTTTTATCCTATGTACTAGCATCTTTTCTATAAGAATGTTACTTTAGAAAAAATGATGAACAAGGAAAAACTCATCCATTTGGGAAATAGCTATGTCTTAGTGAAAGCAGAGGTGGATGATGGACATCCATGTCTGGTTTTTCTGCTTCCATCTTTCCCACAAGGATGCTGTCATTACAACACCAGGATGCAGAGCATTCGCTTCAGCACCCAGAAAGGCAAGTGTATCCTGACAAAGGCTGTGTTAGGTGCTTACTGTAGGTACTTTAGGTATGCTAAGTGGCAACAGCTCTGGGCATTGTTTCAGAGATAAGCCATGGCAGCTGGAAAGGACCAATGAAGGAAAACAGAATTGTTTCCAGAAGTCACTCTAACCTCTGTACTGTGGTTCATATTGTCAACTGCTGCAAAAATGAGTTCAAGATTTCAGGCCCTGGCATTTTCCCTGCCAGAATGCTCCAGCAACTTCCAAGTATGATGTCAGAACCACCAGCAGTAGCCTGAGAAATCAAGGAAAGAGGGAAAAGCTGCCTGAGGCTAATCATTTGCCTTTGGGGGTATTTACTGGTTTCTCCAGGTCAATGAAGCTGCATAGATAGAATATACATATGGGTAGGGTACTATAGCCTTTATACATCTGGAATGTATAAATCTTCCATTTCTTCAAGGCAACTTTGTCTTATCATATCTTTATATACAAAGGGCATGTAGTTAATGATGAGTCTTAAACCCCTAACTGCTAACAAAAAATAAACTGCATATAAACATCAGTCTCCTCTGGAACTACATTTAGAATCTAATGGAGAAGAGATGGCTAGCAATGATGGTCTGCAATGAGGTAGTGGGCAGTGCCTCTCTGCCCACCTCCCAGAAGTAGGAGGCATCTCTAAAATGCCTTTGCAGGCATCTTTGGGAATTACAGGATATATTCTGGAACTTCAAAATGTATGGTATACAAAGACCAAATGTCCTCTCCGATAAGTGGAAGCTGATCCATAATGGGGGAGGCAGGGGGAGAATGGAGGAACTTTAGGCAAAGGGGAGGGAGGAAGGAAGGGTGAGGGGGCATGAGGGCAGGAAAGATGGTGGAATGAGATGGAGATCATTACCCTGGGTACATGTATGACTGCACCTGTGGTGTGATTCTACATCGTGTACAGAGAAATGAAAAGTTGTGCTCCATTTGTGTACAACAAATAAAAATGCATTCTGCTATCATGAATAACTAATTAGAACAAAAATAAAAAAAAGTATGGTATAGGTGATCACCATAAACAAAGATGAAATAGGAGATAAATCTTTTGTGTATGTTAATGATTTAAGGTTAAGAATGTCTTGGACGACATTTTGGAGAAACTTCCAGAAGAGTTCAACATGGCAGAGATAATGCAGAAAAACTCAAATAGAAGTCCCTACGTTCTTGTTTGCTTCCAAGAATGTGAGAGGATGAATATTCTCATTCGAGAAATCCGAGCGTCACTTCAACAATTAGACCTTGGTTTGAAGGTAAGTTGAAAGTGAGGCTAAGCAGCCTTCCCCACATGGAAACTATTTACTATGTGGTCTTTTTTTCTCCATACCAGGGGGAGCTGACGTTGTCTCCTGATGTGGAAGCCCAGCAGCTTGCATTGAGTTATGATATAGTCCCAGACACTTGGAGCAAACTGGCTTACCCATCTACTTACGGCCTAGCGCAGTGGTAAGCTACCCATCCCCCCGCCACTGGCCATTATCTGCATCCATGGTGCCCGGCTGGTGTTCTGTTGACAGTGTAAGAACCCAGAAGACTCTGCTTTGTGACTGAACTTGGTCCCTCAGTGGGACAACTCTACCAGAGCAGAGAAGTGAGCAGAACCTCTCAGTGGATTTTTAACTCTGCGAAACACCCAAACTTAGGTTTTATATACCCAGAAATAAGGATTTATATGGTTACATCTTGTGATTAACAACTGTGGACTTTTCCCCACCGTTCTTTTGTGAAAATTTTTATATTTTTCACAGCTTTCCCCCCTAGCCTTTTCTGACTTGTTGGTTTAACAGTTTAATCACGTACCAGCCCTTATTTCAGTAGAGACATTGAAACATACACTTGATTCTTCCAAGTCAGCATTTTTCCCTTAGACCTGTTAACTTTCCTCCTAACATCAGGCTCCTTCTGGTCTTATTTTAGACAACAGTATTTTCATTTTGTTTATAGTCAATATTTTTTTTTTTAACAGTAGATCAGCTTTTTGCTCAGCAATGCTTTTCTCATCTTGTCAGGGCTCCCTTTTCTTTTACCATGGCATAAACCATGTGGAGGTTTGAGTGTCACATTCTTTGTGCGTCTGAACCAGCTTCGGCGACTTGATTGGAATTCTAAGGCACAATGACTATTTTTCCCTCCAGAACTTCAATTTTCTGTTTCCTAGTATAGACTGGAGGTGATCAGCCTGTTCCTATATATTCTTGTCATTCACAAGTTTCTCATTACCCTTGGTGTTCTTCAAGTGTACTGTTGTATTTGGGATGCTTTTAAATCTGAATCCAACTTGCTGCTGTGTGCTTACAAATATGAGAGTCCATTTATAGCTTCCATTGTGAAAATTTCTCCATGCCTATTTCCCTGTTGCCTTTTGCTCTCCTCTTGTTATCTATATTCATCCAAACTCCCAGTCTGTGTCTGCTGTTTTGGTGGATTTAATTGTTTCCAGGTGATCCTCATTATCTCTTTAACCATCTCCACACTGTTTTCTTCCCTTGACTGAATTATTTAAATTCCATTATTTTTTGAAGACTCATCTTTGTTATTTCCTGTTAGGAACCTTCCTGATGTTGCATTTACTGTGGTTGTTTATAACTGTCTGTCTTCATACCTGAATGACACTATGGCTGGTTATATAAATTTCACATTTTCAGGACTTGGGAGGCACCCCTGTTGTACCAGCTGTAGAGATGTCTGAGGCCGGCATTGTTTTTTCCTTTTATAAATGGCTTCATGTTTTCCTCTGGCTTCCCAGGGGATTTTTTTTTTTTTTTTTAAATCTTCACAGGTCACTCAATAATTGTCTTACTATTTTCTAAGTATGTTCATGATTTTGAAGATTCAAATTTACAATTTGGGAAACTCACTTTATAGAATCCCTATTACACAGGGCTTTGTTTCTACTGTTATTTTTGCTCTAACCCTAATTTTTCCTTTCATATTTGTTTCAATTTCATTAAGTTTTATCTTGTATCCAATCCAATTTCATTACTTTTCCTTGTCTGCTCCCTTCCAAGTCATAATCGTATTTATATAAGCAGTCACTTCATTTTCTAGTTTTGTTGAAAACTGGCTGCAGTTTCTCCACATTAAGGTGACTGACAACTTCTGCCCTGGTTTTTGTTCTCTGTCCCTCTGTGTTGTCTTTGTACAGAGCCAGTGCTATTCCTCTGTATTATCTTTAAGTACATTTTTCCTAAATCAGCTATTTGAAAAAACTTTCATGTGGGGCCAGGCACAGGCCCATGTTCTCAGCAAGAATCTTCCTTTGTGTTGCCCGCATTTGAAGGTAAATTCCTCATCACATCCTAGAATCAGCCAAATGCCTCAGGCAGATAGATGTCCCTGCCATGGAGGTCTGGGGGTGACTCCTCACTCAACCCAGTTCCTGTGCAATTCTTAACCTTACAAGGTCCTAGAAAATGTCAATGCCAGCCCAGTGTTCATGATGCTGGAGAACTACTTTGCTGGCTTTTATGTTGAGGCTCATCTCTGTGTTTCACCCTTTACCCCTTTTTAACGGCCCTTAAACCTCATCTCAAGGTCTCTTTAGCCCCTTTGAGCCCGCTTCCTCATGGCTAGGTACTTCTTAACTTGCGTAACTGTGAGGACTAGATGAGAGAACATGCAATACAGACAAGAATTTTCTCAAATGTGCCATAGTTGGCAGGTCCCCCTGCCCTGTAGCAACCTTTACCTTCCCCTTTCAGGTGATCATCACGTGGGAAGAATACTGTCACACACTGTTCCCTCTATTTTTTGCTGCCAACTCCAGTCTTAGACCCACCACGGCAGCCTTCTTCCATCCCTGACAAGGTGTTCTTTGCTGGGTTCCGAGTCCCGTACCTCATGTTGGCACTTATCAGTCCAACATTTGTGGGATGTCCTATATAGATAGATCCTCCTAGTGCTATATGGTGACTAAGTACGTTAATAAATACAGAGGGATGTTCCATATTCCCCTCTAGCGGTATTAACTCTAAGAGGTGCAGGTGTAAAATCTCAATAGGAAACACCCTCGTTCTTTAAAGAGACACCCCAAAAATCATCAGGTAAGCATTTTACTAGCTTTCAATGGTGTACTTTACCACCACCACTCCTCCCCAACCCTTTCTGCCAGAATCTTACTGGAAGACATCTGTTTTACTAAAAGGCAAGTTTATTTTCTCTTACCTTCCACTAACCAGGTTTAATGACTTTCTTCTGCGCTGCCGAGAGCTTGACATGTGGACCCAAGACCTAGCCCTTCCAGCCGTCGTGTGGCTCTCTGGCTTCTTTAATCCTCAGTCCTTCTTAACTGGTAAGAGCAGAAGTCCTGCCTTGCTTGATCTATGATGCATCCTCCCTGTTTGCTAATCTTCAAGCAGCTGCCATTAGAAGGAGTAGGAGTGACTAGGAAGAAAATAAAGGGGCCCTGGGTACGGTGAGCTCAAGTCAAGGGCCATGGGTCTGTCACAACTTCTCCACTCCTAGTTTGTAAAAGCAACCATAGACGGACATTACAGAAGCAAATGGCTGCTCCAATAAAATGTGATTTACAAATAGGTTGTCCTGTATGCCTTCGTTTGCCAGGCAGGCCCTGCTCTATGGCAGCCATGTACAAATAAATGCCCAGAAGCTAAAAACCACCCTGTGGCGCTAAAGACTGCCTTGGCTTACTGGTAGCTCCTGGGAACCTATTCGCACTTTTATCCTAATCAATTCCTGTTCCCTCTCCTCCCAAAGCAATTATGCAGACTATGGCTCGAAAAAATGAGTGGCCACTGGACAGAATGTGCTTGACTGTTGATGTCACCAAAAAAACAAAGGAAGATTACAGCCATCCCCCAAGGGAAGGTGCATACCTCCACGGGCTCCTCATGGAAGGTGAGGCACCTCCAGTGTGAGTGAAAACTCTCCAGGTTCAAGTTGGGGATTGTCTCAGGATCCACTCAGTTAACTTCATACAAGTGGCTATCATTTAGCTCGTGTCCTCCAATGTGAACCAAATTGAGGCATGGGTGTTAATGCCCCCAGGATACTCAAGAGCTACAATGAAGTTACATTATTCTGCTTTGAGTATAATCAATTCAAAATCTTCTACTGTCTTAAAGTTGTTGGCAAAACTATCAATACTTCTCCCAACCTTTAAGATGCCATTGTGTACCTCTGAGGAGGACTGGGATGTGGTTTTCCAGATTTACTTGGCCCTGTGTTTGTGGGACATCTAGTCCCTGTCAAGGTATTCCTTCTGCATTTTAAAGCAAATGCCACAGTTCAAATATTTAAAGGCTGGGAAGATGATGTAACTCTTAAGGGAGGACAAACTGATTATGATTTTATTGTTCAGCTATTGGGAACCATTACCTATGCCGGTTAAGTTAACTTCTGTTTCAAATCTCAGCCGCTGGGTTATGATGTTACTGATGAGCAGAAACAGGACAAAACCAGAACATTTATTGCATCCAACAATCACTATCAACATGCCATACTGTTGCAACAGTTGTGTTTTTGCCACAGGTGCCCGATGGGACCCCCAGTCAGGAACCATTGTTGAAGCTCGCCTCAAGGAGTTGAAGTCCATGATGCCTGTCATCTTTGCCAAAGCCATACCCGTGGACAGACAAGAAACCAAACACACTTACGCGTGCCCTGTGTACAAAACCAAAACCAGAGGTCCCACCTACGTCTGGACTTTCAGATTAAAAAGCAAAGAGAAGACGGCTAAATGGGTGTTGGCAGGTGTGGCTCTGTTGCTAGAAGCGTAAGACGGTCCTTGCACTGGGACTTAACGTTCCTCGGCTGGAACACAGTGAGAACTTTTCATTTTGTCTCTGTTCTTATTATGCATGTATACTTTTTTTTCTACTGAAAGGCATAAAATGCATTCCAACTTATGTAACTTTTAGTAACTTACACATGCATTCATTTTTAAAATACTATCCTTAAAAAAGAAGCAAATGTACAAAAAATAACAGACACCTGTTCAGTCTCTATGTTCACTGATTTTAGCTTTCCTCAGTACCTCCTGAAGCCCCCTTCCTCAACTTGCACAAAACAGTTTGTCACATTTTCACCAAGGTTCCATCAAACAGACGTGCAGCTGAAGGAAGGGGGATTCAGTTATTATTAAACATGAAAATCTTTTAAAAATTAGCCCTTAAGTTCTTTGAAAAGCAGCAGGCCCTGTGAGACCTCTAGTGTCTGTAACCTGACAGTCCACAAAACCCTAGGTTCACTCGCGTTCCATGATTAATTGCACTTTGTAATTTTAGGGAACAATCTTCAGTACAAATTTCCAGCAATCTAGAGGAGGATAAATTATTACCGTTTGAGCTATGGTCACTCAAGGTAAGGCAAACTACAAGAAAAACAAGTCCTGTAAAAATAGCCTAGAGTGACCAGGAAGTTAAAGGCTGCTTCTATGTGTCTTTTCTGTAACTTTCCTAAATTTTTAACTCTGCCCCATTTGAATTGTGCTTTTGAATCATCAGCAGATACCACACAGGGCTTGTGTGTGTATATATATATACACACACACATAGATTCCTCTGCTATGTTCCTGAGAAATCTTAAGCATATAAACATTTAAAAAAAAAATAGTATTCATCAACTCTATAAGAAATTTTGTATAAAAACAACTGTAAGAAATCTTAGGCACAAATGGTATGCACTTCTTGTTGGGGGTACCCCATGCTGACTTCGCAGGTTCCTCTCAATTGTCTTCCACCAGCTGCTTTTGTAAGCTGAGAAAAAGATGATAAGTAGCTGTTAAAGGTGAACAGAAAGCAGCATTCTAGGGAGATTTTTAAAACCCTATAGAGCATAAACCCTAATCTCCTGCCACTTCCAGAATAACTGTGTGTCCTGTTCGCCCCCAGTGACTCCCATATTCCAATTTACAGGTAACAAATCTGTGTCCTTTGCCCAGGTCCTGCCTGACCTCTGTGCTCACTAGGGTTACGGCTGCCTCTTACTGTCCTTACAGCTCCCTCTCAGCCTGTCCTTCTATTTTTCACAAGAGAAAATTCTGGCTCGAGGCAATGAAGAGTTGAAGATTCTAACAAAGGAAGCAAACATAATAAGCCTGAGCTTCTCCCACACAGAGGCAGGCTGGACAGCACTCAAGGTGGTTTCTATAAATCAGCCAGGCAACAGCTCCTTGCCTAGAGGTTCTGCATTGCTGGGCCCCAGGATCACAACCGCCATTTCTGAACTAGTAGACTTACCTCTCCAGATATTCCTTAACATTATCATAACCATAAAACTTGGCCAGATGAATGAGGATCCCCGTGGCACAACGGCCATCACGCTTTCGACAATAACTGCAATTGCAGATTCCACGGCAGGGAGGACACATCCAATCCTAAAAAGAGATGATGGCAGCAATGTCCCATGGGATACAGGAGCTCATTGAGTCTGACTGAGCTGAGTCTCTATCTTTAGCAGTATGTCACTGTGGCCCAGAAAGGCTGACCACCCCACATCAGAGAAACAATGAGATATGTAGCTGGTCCTGTCTAAAACCAACATTTGATTGGTGGGCACCCTTGCTCAAGAGGAAGATTTTCAAGGAGCAAGTGCAGGACCCTCATACCAAGTGGCCCTGACTGTAAGAGCATGGGGTTTACAAAATCAAGGTATGAATTCCAGCTCTCCCAATAGGTGTACTTATTTTGAAATCACTTAACTTGAATAGTCTAATAAACTGGGCACACTCTATATACACCTTTCAAGTCACAAGATGAAGGTTAAGACTACTTAGGTCCAAGCATTACCTCATTTCACAAAGGGAACAAAGCATAGGCAGGTTTACCCACTTCATAAAAGAAAACAATAACAACTGAAAGAAAAATAACAGTGCTAGGCACACAGGAAACACTGTACTATAACACACACAGCCCCTGGCCTGCAAAAAAAGATCTCTGCTGGAGGAGAGGCACAGGGTTAACTTGTATGAAAACAACTCTGACCTTAAAAAACCTGACAAAAACTCTTCTTCTCCATTGGCCTGCTCATTCTCTTTCCAGAAGAAAATGCTATTTTTCATCTCCCTCAGTCTTAAAATGTAGGAAGAAAGGGCTCTTCCAGGTCCCCCACCTTGGGCTCATTTCCCTTCCCCAAAGCGACTTAAAAGCAAACACACTTCCTACCGGGTCTAGCAATGCCGATCTCACGTCCTCCCCATAGCGATTCCGCAGGCATGGACCACAGAACTGTCCCCGTACCCCACCACAGCTCTGGTTCCGACACACTGTCTTGGTGTCAATGGTCTTCTGCCGACACTGATGGCACGTGTTACCCTGGGGAGGGGTGAGGGTGAGAGTGAGCACAGGGAGCAAGAGCTAGGGCCATGAGAAGAGATGCCAGTACTGCCCCTCTCCCACGGTCCCTAGGACAAACCCTGGAGGTTTCCACCAGATAGTGGGCACTTTGGTTCACAGAGCAGATGAGACTGAGCAGGGACCCCCCCAGAAAGAATGAAACAGTGGACAGGAGCAGAGACCAGAGGCAAGCTTGAGGCAACAGGTTCAGTGGTGACAGGCCCCAAGCAGCAACAATTTGGCTGAAGCCCTGAATACCTACAGGGTAAAATCTCCTAATTTTAAAATGTTGGCAATTCAATAAAAAACATTTAAATACTACCTTAAATTACTTATCCAAAAAAGAAAATGAGAAATAACAAAGCCCCTCTTTAAATCACCATATAGAAAAAAAATTCAATTTCCTCCCAAAGTTTTCTATGACTATATTATCCCCCATAACACTATCTTTTTCAATATTTAAGATACACTACTATGTAAGTAATAAAAATGTTAACAATTACACGTAAATATGATTTTATGCTTTTCTAAACTATTATCGCTGCCACCCCCCAGATTATAAGCATGCCTCAGTGACCCACCTCTCCTGATGAGGGTCACTGCACTAAGTCGTCTTTCTTTTCCAATGATGGCTGACCAAGACCCTACAATTTAGAGCCAGGTTCTGAGCCCACAAGGAGATGGCACAAGGGTATGAGTCCCGATACAGTTTAAAAACAACGTAGGAGTTTAAATACCAATGCCCTGGACTCTCAATCACAGTCATACAAATTATTCATAAAATATAATTTACCAAAACTTTATCATAGATTTTATCTCGCACAGTTATGGCAACATTGTCCAAGTCCTGTTCAGTAATATCCTCCACTGGTCGAAAAGAAGATATACGGCGACGTCGTCTATGCCCCTGGGATTTCCCCTGCAAAAGGACAGAAATTGGAATAAGATATGTTAAGCCATTTCAAACAGATTAAGAATCTTAAATTAACATTGATCATGTCCCTTCTCTATTTCCTGGGAACCCTGTCGTCCATGTAGTTATTCACTGGGCTTCTCCCTATACCAAGCTTCCTTCTTGACAAGACAATACAGCAATAAACAAGAATTTGGGCTTTTGAGTTCAATTTTCTGCTGAAAATTTTGTGGAGACAGGGAAATGAACCTCATTGAACAGTTAAACCCACAAAGTAGAAGGCTCTAAAGTTCCACCCTCCAAACCAAAGCCAATCACAAGGAACCATCCCTGTACTTTCCCACACACAAAAGCACAAGGCTAGCTGGAGCTGTTCACAGGCTTTTACTGCTTCTGCTAGATATCAAGTTCAACCCACTTCATGAGCGGTAACCAATGAGCTGCTTCCCAGCTCAGTTTGGATAAAGGACTGTCAATGCAACCTATAGTTTAAAGCAGGGGCCTTCTCAAACTGTGGTCCCAGGGGCATAAGCATCACCAGGGAACTTGGAAATTAAAGGTCTTAGCTGCTGCAGACCTCCTGAGCCAGAAACTACCTGTAAACAGGCCTGGTTTAACAAGATGCATCACGTTTGAGGACCAATGGCTTACACAGTAATTCAGTTATTACAGTCAGAAAATACCCCACTAGTTGTCTTCCTTCTTCTGATTGTATAAAACTCTTCAGCAAATTTGGTGGCAGAGATGGTAAAGTTTTCTAGAGCAAACTTCTCTGGGGGCCGCGCACTTCGGGTTGGGTTTGTGCGCCTGATGATCTGTCCCTCTGAGAAGGCCCGACGCACTGTTTTCTTCTTCTGAAACCAAAAACACAGACATGCACTTGAGTGCTCTCTTGAATAAAAGCCACTAGGCAACCAATTACTAAACATCAGCAATGGTGAGAATAATTTTAAGGAGTTTCACTTACCGAAGCTGAGGTTGGCATTCGTACTGGGAATAAACCTGGCATTGAGTTCAATTCTGCCAATAACTGAGCGAGCTGAAGAACAGAAGAAAGCATCTTACATAAATCATTACTGCCAGAATGTTATGGTTTAGAATATGGAGTGTCCCCCAACAGCTCAGCAATCCTTGAACTGATGAGACTATGGGGACTCTTGGAGATGGACTAAATGTATTGTGAGATGATCATGAGCTTTTGGGGAGCAAGGGCTAAATGTTATGGTTTGGACATGAGGTGTCCCCAAAAAAACATGTGAGAAGGTTTAGAGGAAAAATGACTGGGTCATGAAAGCCTTAACTCCAATTAGTCCATTAGTCACCTGACAGGATTAACTGAGTGGTAACTGAAGGCAGGTGGGGCATTGGAGCCAGGGCTCTGGGGTATATATTTGTATCTGGCAAGTGGAGTCTGTGTGTGTGTGTTTGTGTGTGTGTCTGTCTGTCTGTCTGTCCCTCTCTCAAGGAATACAGCCCATTGTCTATGCTTTGAGACCTCTGAAACTGGGAGTACCTAAATTTCCTTCTCTACACTTATGCTGGTCAGGTATTTTAGTTAGAACAGCAAAAAAGCTGACTAAAACACAGGTCCGTGTCATCCTACACCTCTAGCAAGCCTTTGATTTTGCTACTAAATAGCTTATACAAGCCTCAACAATCACATCACATCACCTCACGTGTCGAGATTTTATCTCCAGAGATGAGAAGCTGACAACACCATTCATCCGCGTCAACACAAGGATAGGACACAATGACAACAGTCCTGGAACGTCCAGAGCCTCAGGCACAAGGTTCCTGCCAGTAATTAGCTGTGCAAAACTGGGACAAATCATTTTGCATGCCTGAATCTCTCTCAGTTCCAACATGACCAAAACCCAACTGGCTCAACTAGGTGATTCTAAGAGAGCCCCCCAAATCTGATACTTTTAGGTAAATTTCTTGGCAACAGAAACAATTTCTGAAGACTTCTCCAAATGAACATCGACTAATACCAAGCAACACGTACTAATATGCCAATCAGAGAATTCAAATAGAATTTAGTTTTAGACTTGGTACCACTATAAAATCATATAGAACATAGTTCTTACTGAAGATGCAGATGACACTGAATTAAAAATTTCCATTAATCAAAGCCAAATGTGCTTTAGAATACAAATCGCCCCTAAGCAGGCTTTTAATTTTTTGAAGTAATGTATTGGACATGATTACATTAATATTTCCCCTTTGGAAAAAAAAAAAGGACAGAGAGCCGGGCACAGTGGCACATGCCTGTAATCCCAGTGGCTCAGGAAGCTGAGGCAGGAGGAGCATGAGTTCAAAGCCAGCCTCAGCAAAAGCAAGTGCTAAGCAACTCAGTGAGACACTGTCTCTAAATAAAATACAAAATAGGGCTGGGGATGTGGCTCATTGATTGAATGCCTCTAAGTTCAATCCCTAGTACCACCCACCCCCAAAAAAAGGATAGAGGAAAAAATATTCCAAAATAAGTGATTAAGTGGTAAGATTATTTCTTAAAATTCTGTCAATACAAGGGCTGGGGTTGTGGCTTAGCAATACAATGCTCACCTAGAATGTGTGAGCACTGGGTTCGAGCCTTAGCATCAATTAAATAAACAAATAAATAAATAAAGGTATTGTGTCCAACTACAACTAAAAAAATATTTTAAAATTTTGTCAAAATTATAGAACAATGATTTTCAACAATGATCAGATTAAGTTATTAACCCCATTTAGAAAAAATAAATGCACATCAAGAATTTCACCTTGTTCTACTAACTATTCTAATAAAGACATTTAAAAGTGAATTTAGCCCCTGAGATTGTTCTAATCCCTAGACCTTTTCCCATTCCTTCAGAGATGTCTCCCAGGGGGGCAGTTTCCAGGCAGAAGCCGCCTGCCTGTCCTGCCCACAACTCTTACACACTCAGTGACAGCTTCTTTGCTTCTTTCTGCAGTTGCTTGGCCCTTCTCCTCCCCAGCACTCCTGATTTAGAACTCAACCTGACAATCAGGAAGCTTATAGGGTTCCCTGTAGGGCCTATAAATGGTCCCAGGGGTCTCTTTCTGTTCCGAAACCAGAGCTGATCATGTAATAACAACTCTGGGTTCAGGTAAAGAAAATAGATATACACTCCTCAGAGTACACCCCCCTGACAGAAGCCAAGGTGGCAGGAGCTGAAGGGGCAGAGTCACCTGTGAGCCTTAGCACCTGCCATCAGAGCCCAGCCTACTCCTGGCACCTCCTGTGGAAGTCTCACCATGGCCTTGTTCTCCTTGATGTTCATGGTCCTCTTCAGCAGAGCATCCGAGCTCTCCTGGTTCTCGTCCCTGGAGTCATCCTCAGACTCAGAGGCAGAATCTTCCGTTTCCTTTGCCTGTTTACAGCTTTTATTTCTTACAAGATTTTTTTTACTATCCTGTAAATGTGAGCTAGAAAACAACAGCTCAGAAGAACTATTTTTATCTGATGTTTTTGCCAATTTCTTGGTTGGGAACTGCAAGGCTACTCGTAGGCCAATACTGCTTCTCCGAGACCTGCCTCTTCTAGGTATAGCCTTTTCTTCCTCTTCATCTTCTTCTTTCTCACTCACCAAGGATGCTTTGCCATCATCACTTGAATCTGACTCCACGAGCTAATAAAAGAACAAAGACACTATAACCCTATACTGAGCCATGAGTTATAATCTACTCTATCAAAAAACAAACAAAAAACTCTACTCATTTAAAACCACCCAGACATTATTTTAGAAAGAAAAGCAATGAAAAGCTTCCCCTTCCTATTGTTAGATCACCCTGAACTCTTCACTTAAAGCATACATGAAGTTTGTCGGGGAAATAAACTCAAAGCATAAGTAATCTCCTACTGAACCCTGCACAGGTCATGCCCACCCACATGCTGAGTTCCATCAGTCAGGCTGAAAGCAAAACACTGACATGAGCAACCAAGGAGCGCATCAGGAAGTCAAGTAAAATGAGACTATGGGGTGTGCATGACCAGAGTTATCTTCAGATAAAAATGGCATGCAGAGGGGAAAAGTACTCATCTGCTCTAAATAGCAGGCACTGGACTCAAGAGTGGAGGGAAAGGAAAGCAGAATTCACCCTGGTGAAGTGACCAAGGAGCAGGCAGAGGACCTGCCAATGGTGGTGGTGGTGGTGGTGGGGGGGGGGGGGACGGGTTGTCATCCTCAGGGCAGACAGGGCTCTCCATCAAGGGAGCTCCCTCTCCTCCCTAGAAACTTCAGAACCACAGGGTGACATCAAGTCTGACAGCTCTACAGGCTTATGCACAGCTCTTGTTCAGTGGGCTCCAGAAAACTCTCACCCCAAATTTTCAAACCCCATGAAGTATAGGTCCTCAGTGTTACAAGCTCACTTGGTCTTGCAAGTGAGAGGCGGTAACATCACAGGTGATAGTTGGGAGACCTCCAAGATGTAATAGGGACTCTGAGCAATGGTGGAGGGGGTTAAAAACTAGAGACCAAGGACATCATTTAGGCATCCTTTCTGGGCCACACGTGATAAAACAGCCTGGGAATGGCTGGCAGTGAATGCTGAAGATAGGCCACCATGAACAAAGAGGCAACAGGATGGACCAGGACCCAATCTAGTGACTCTGCCTCCTCCCAGGGACTCTTAAAATTCTAGGTGGACTCAAGATAGAAATGAGAAAGGAAGAAAAAATATGCAGAAAACTTCCAACTATAGTGTACCCATCCACTCATCCACACCACGCCAGTAGAGAACTAAGATTGCACCATGTTGACTGATCTATTTTTTATTTTATTAAGTATCCTAAACTTTCCATGCTAATAGCTTGAGAATTCAGGGAGAACTTGGGACCTGCTCTATTTCTCTCACACTCATCATCTGCTCTGCCTCTCTTGACTAAGGATGTGGAGAAACACAATAGAGAACCAGGTGAGGAAAGCGCACAGTCAACACAAGCACAGAAACAGGCCCAAGGACAAGAGCAAAGGTCGGCACCATGGCTGTGATTGTTCTGCACCTGGCCTGCAGACCACTAGAAACCGAGACTATGGCAGGACCTATCAGAAGGGACAGTCTGGCCAGTTCTCATGAGCACAGGCAGGAGGCTGGGCTGGGAGGCTGGATCCCCCCAAAGGTTCACATGTGAAGGCTTGGTCCCCAGGGTGAGAACACTGGGAGGTCATGGAGCCTTTAGAAGGTGCTTAGTGAGAGGTCTTTAGATCATGGGGGAGGAGACCGTGCTAGTAAAGGACCCAAGTCTCTTCTTGGCTCTTTTGGCTTCCCGACCATGAGGTAAGTATTTTTGCTCTAACATGCATTCCCACTGTGATGTGATTCTTTACCACAGGCTCAAGGTCACAGGACTAACCAATCATGGGCTGGAAACCTCAAAATCGTGAATCAAAACAACCCATTTCTCCGTATACATTGATTATCCCAGGTATTTTGTCATAGCAAAAAAAAAACTAATAACATAGAAATTTCTCACCAAAATTTGAAAATAAAATTTGCAGGTAGACCTTATGAGTTATAATCTACTCTCCATGATACTCCCAACTAATACCCGAAATGTGTATAGTCTAAGTGGGGAAAAGACTTGGGATAATCCACTTTTCCTCACTATAAGAAATACAAATTCTTCAACTGACTAGACATCACTTAGCTCAAGAACAGAAGATATCCATTAAGGTTTGCGAGAATTGTAGTGTCTTACTGGCAAGAAACTGGGGACCTGCTAGCCAAAACCCACAAACTGACACACAGCCAGCTTCTGTAAAGAAAGCCAGAGGAGAGCTGGGCCTCCAGGTTGGCTCTGTGTTGCTATTCACAGGAAAAAGCCACCACCTAACGAGGCCGCCTACCATCAGGGAGTTTCATGGCCTCAGCTCTCCCCATGGACGGTGAGGGACAAAGCCAACCTGGCAGTCACAGCTTATTTATACTTCCACACTGGTTCTGTGCCAAAAGTTGTTCTTTAGGACCCACCAAAGGAATAGGCTTAAACTATCTTCACCTTGATCACAAAGAAGGAAATGTTTGTTTACTTTCTGTATTAACCTATGTTGTTTTTCAGTTGATAGAAAACATTTTTGCACTTAAAAAAAAAAATCCATACAATTGTCATGTTTTTAATGTGTCAGTTAATAATATAAATTCAACTTGAATTGTTTTTAAAAAATGGAAGGGTAAATAAATGTAATGTATTTTTGGATTGAAACTCAAGATATAGAAAGAGGACTTTACCAGAAAAACTGGTAAAATTTCAATAGAATTTACTTAATAACACATTAATTTCTCAGTTTTGACAACTATATCATGATTATATATAGGGAAACTAGGTCAAATACATATAGGGACTCTCTGTACTATCTTTTAAATTTTATAAATGAAATTATTCCCAAATAAAAATACTTACAGAAAAAAAAGTCCAAAGATTGGGTTTCAATGTTATCTTAGAATTCAAACATTACTTGGCAGAAAACTAAACACAATATGCAGAGTAAAAGGAAGAAATTTTAAAGGTGAAGGGCTGAGAGATTTCCCCAGGAGTCCAGGAGGAACAAGGATCACCTTTAAGGTTCAAAACCATGCTGGATTCCTGAAATCAACATGCACAGGGAAATCCCAATCTACACCACGGCTGCATTTCAAATCTAAGAATGTCACTTCACATACAATCAGAAAGGGCTGGAAGGAAACTGTTACCCAACACAGACTGAAAAGATAAAAGCAGCTCAAAAAATCTGAGATAAACTGGTAAGGATAATAAAGGATACCTGGGACACATCCCCAGAATCCCAAGGGGAAGACAAACGGATTTTTCTAAGAAAGGAACAGACCAGTGGACAGGAGATTAGCCTTACAGCAGCAATTCTTGTATTATGTTAATTGACTTATGAGACAAATACAAGAAGAAAATGAAATCTCTTCATTTGCGAAGTGACTACTTACAAATTTAAAGCTATAATTCAGAAACAGGACTAAAACTTTTATTGCCCACAATCCTTTGTGTTGATAATCATTACCATTACTTCTGGGTTACTGTTTACGTTCAGATCATTCTGCGTAAATCCTTCGAAGTCTTCATTCTCTGAGTCAGTGTCCTCTATAAAAATTCTTCTTAGCTCTTCTGTGAAGTATTTGGAATGGAAACGAACATCCTGCTAAATTAAAAACACATACATCAGAGAGACAGGAAGCACAATAGATGTGTGATGGGGGCGGGGAGGACAGGGAATCATTGGTTGGAGGGATGTGAGTCTTTGCTGGAGATGGATGGCGGTGACAGCCACCCAACACAGTGAAGGTACTTAATGTTACTGAACTGTGCGCTTAAAATGGTTAAGATGGCACATTTTATATAATAACAATTTTCCACCCCCACTCCCACCACCCCCACACGCATGTGCACACACACATTTTCTAAGGCTTACAGAAATAAAGACCTACAAATTAGGCAATTTCAAAAAATCAGAATGGTTGTTGCCTTAGTCACTTCTGGCATGACTGGTGAGTACTGTTAGAATTCAGCTTCTCCTGCCAAAGCTGGCAACCAGAAATGTCTGCTTTCACACAGAACTGCAAACACAGGGAGAGGAGAGACGAGGAGAAAACCTGGCTTCCTCCCACATGCCATTTTTCCCTAACAGCCAACCAGAGCCGGGGTCCCCTCCAAGTGGGTGAGCCTGGCTCCCTTTCACAGCAAGTTTCTCTGTAGGAAAGAACTGAGGACCCTCACACCCCTCCACCCACTGCCACAGGGGCTGGACTTGCTCCATTACCAATGACTTTGGGGGACTGGAGGAAAGCCACAATCCTCCTCACCCCCCAGAGGTGGGGTGAGCAACCACCGTGGTAGCAAGTTAAGCAGAGGGAAAGACTGATTGTCTTGACTGGTTCTTAAAACACAAAGATGTTTTCCAATAGTGAATTTTCCTCCTTCTGAAATACCATAAAGAAGGGACCAGCTCTTAAGAAAGTGGGTTCGGAAGAATGAAATAAAAAAGAAAGAACTACAGGCTCAAAGGGAGACCCCCAAGGGCAGCCATCTGCAAGCCTGCAATATTCCATCAGGGTGAGTCTGGGTCCCCAGTTTCCTGATGCCTCATCCTCCCATCCCCCAACATATCCACAACCCCTCACAACACCCCATTTGATTGAGACTCTTTAGCTCCCCCGCCTTTCCCTGACTTTAATTATATCCTTCTTCAAGCTCTGATATCTTTGGGGGGAAAAATAGATATAATAGATGAGTGGAAAAACTTATAGGGGGGATAGAAAAGAAATGCCTACATCCAGCATTCTGTCAGCTTAAAAATGTCTCCTATGAATTATTATGGATAATTGGAGTGAGTTTGCTCAGAGCTAAATTACTTTCTTCCTTTGATGATAGCTGTGGTGCAGCTGCTTGAAAAACAAATACACACACAAAAGGGAAGTTTCTTTAAAGTGAAATTCAAATTGTGTTCAAGAGAGACCAGAGTAGGCTATACATGTAGTGCACAAGTTCAAGCAGCTTCCCTTGGCTGGTTAAATGTATCTCAAGTGTGTGGGGTGTAGCAAGCCTCGGATCAGGGCTTCTCATTAAGAAAGAATGAGTAGAACACAGCTGGCTACTGAGGAAACCCATCATGCACCTGAGGGCTAGAGACATCTGGCTCACAGAGCCCCGAGCCAGCCCCTACAGGCTGTTTCAGGGAAATGGGGTCCGTGTGTAAATTTCATTAAATATCCAAAGTTCCTACCCAGAGCCTGCAGGGAACAGGTCAGGGCTGGTAGCAGTGAGTTCCAACCTGCGCTCCCTCTAGCTTTTCCTATCCTTTGTGCAGGACTTGCAGGGCAGTGGACAGCCTGGGAGAAATCCCACCTTTGGTGGTCAGTCCTGATGGAGAAAAACTTAGCCATGGTCCTAAATTGAGGCTAAGCTTTTATTTTGCTAACTCCAAAGGGTGTGAAAATGGTTTTTTACGTGGGTCTGTTTGGAGCTCATCTCCACTCCACACAGCCTCTCTGCTTTCCATCTCTCACAGCCCCCTGCTCTCTGGAACCTGTTCAGTATGCTTCAAAAGCAATACTCGGGCACCTCCATTCACCATGATCAAGATGGTAAGCAAGTAGCAGACTGGAAGGAGTTACACAGGCAGCTACATCTTTTATTTTGAAGCCCATGTGACATGAAAACAGATTAGAGAGCAATGGCCTACTGAACCAGTCAGATGGGCAACCATTTCCAGTACCCAGAACACCCAGGGGCCCTCATTCTGTATCATCAGTTGGGGTGCTGGATGCTTAAACAAGAGCAAAGGGACAACACAAGAACAAAAGGTCAGAGCCAGGGAAGATAGAAAGCACCCTCCCAGTAGGAGGTCTCCTCCTTCCAGGAGCTTATAATCTACAGCAGAGCCAAACAGGTCAAGTAACCATGGTGAATGTGCCAGTGGAGACACACACAACGTGGCAACATCAGGAAGAAAGTCCAGTGAGACCTCATGGAAGGAGCAGCATTCGAGCTGGACCAGAGCCAGGATCAGAGGAAGGATGAAGAGAGGGGTCAGTGGGAACAAAGGGCAATCAACCCAGTTTCTGAGCCGTGTATCCCAGCAGGTGGAAGAGCACCAGGGCAGTTAAGAGACTGTGAAGTGGTGGCCCTGTATCAGGAACATCACAGCTCGCTGCTTCCCAGGAGTGGATCCTTGAGCAAGGGACAATGACAGCACCTACAACTGCCCAGTGAAGCTTTAGAGTCAATGCAGTAGTAAGAAACCACATGGCACACTGTCACAGGCCAACCTGTGAGACCTGGCTGGGGTCAGACCAGGGGTCCAGGAAGGAGAGAAGTGACTGTGTAAGTACCAGTCACCGCAGCAGAAGCAGCTCCTGTGTTTCTCAATGCCCAGGGTGTGCCAGGCTCTGCACTAGGCACTTCACACATGTCCTGTGCTGCTCAGAACACCCCTTAAGGTGAATCCAACAGGCTCTGCTCTCCCTCACTACCTGACCATTCTCAGAGAGAGACTAGAGAGGAGATGAGACCATAGCTCAGTCCATAAGGGATCCCAGTAGGGTCACTGGGGTAGGGGCCATGGGGGCTAGCACAGCTACAGAGGGAAGAGAAGGGAAGGGACGATATGAGAACACGGCAGAAATTTCTAAATTAACTCCTGGATGGGAGCAGGTGGGGAGGGGCGAGGGGGGAAGGGTGTCAAGAACAACAGATGCAGATAAAGATGGGCAAATGGGGAAGCCAGACAGACAAGCAGAGGAGGGAAAATTTTGAGTTTCAGCTGTCCCTTGAACAACCAAGAGCAGTCCAACTGGCTGTCCACCTGGGGCTGGAGAGAGAAGCCACACTGCATTTGAAGAACATGGTGACAGTTGCAAGTAGGACTGCCCATTGCTAGGATCAAGAGGGGTGAAAAGGTCTGAGGACGAATTCTTAAGAGAACCCACGTTTAGGGACAAAGAAGAAATGACAACAAAAAGCGAATGGTATAACAGATGAAGAGACCCAGGAGTGGAAGGAGGCAGCTGGAGGGATCAAATGTTATAGTGACATCAAATAAGACAAGGATCACAGTGACCAGAAAGGCCCGTTGACCCCAGACAGCACAGCTCCCACTGAGGCCAGAACACACACAGTCACCCAAGTCGGAAAGCAGACTCTCTTGCAGGTAGCACTGGCTGCTTCCCTTCCTGGAGGTACCCAGCTGAAGCAAGGTGGGTTGAATTTACAGCCATTTAGAAGAGGCCACGGTGGAGAAGGAAGAATTTTGTGTCATGATGAACTCAGAAGAAAATGCCACTGAAGGCTAGAGATTTTGATTGTCCATTCTGTTGTTAAGGCACAATATAAACCTCCAGGAATCTCACTCTCAGAGGACTGTAACTTGTGTTTGCTACAGAGCAAAGTAATTAAAGAAGGCATAAGACTCTCCCCAGCAGTTTCAGGCAGGAGGTGCTGATAGAATCTCGCTGCAGGACCAGAGTGAGGCAATTGTCTCATACTAACCGCACATTCCACGCGCCTCGTTGCACTGGCAGGGCTGGCTGTCCCCTGCCAGCCACGTGGGAGGACTCTGAATGCAGCCTCACCACAGGTAACAGCCCAGAGGTAGCAAAGGAAATGGATTTGCTCATGTGAGGTCCCTTTATTAAAAAAAAAAGTGTGTGTGCGTGTGCGTGGAGAGAGATAGGTAGAGTACATAGGAATAAAATACCAACATGTGAGCAAAGTGCTCCCACCAGTGTCTTGAGCATGAAAGGCACAGTCCTCTAAAATACAGCATTCATCTACTAACTCCTATCACCAAGCTCAGAACACTGGAATAAAAGAGCATCCAAACCAAGATCCCGGCTTCCAGAGGAACACACCTGCCCTGCCGACTAGAATCCCTACCTGCTTCCCAGGCTCCAGAGAGTCAAAACTATCACAGCTCTCCTCCGATGACAGAGTTTCCATGGGAACATCATCTCGGAAACCAACGAACTCTTCATCATCACTGGGGGCGTTAAAGATGTCAGCCACTTCTTTAGGGATCTGTTTTGGATTCAAAAAGAGAAAAAGGATAAAACGGAGGCTGTTGTAATCATTTAGGCAAACTCTCTAAAGCAGAGCAGGAATTACCATCTCATGATTTCATCACGCTGCCACAGTTGCCCAGGAGACCCCAGGAACCCTGGGGAAAAGATGCTTAAGACAAGACCTTATAGCAAAAGGTGTTGGGGGAAGAGTAAAATTTTTTCCAATTCTAGATACACACCCTATTTTACAGGAATATTAAGGATAAACCTAGATGAAAGAAGGAGGGAGGGAGGAAAAAATAGGCATCAGTTTCTGGAAACCAACCAATGACCTCTTTTTCCTCTGACAATGGATTTGTCTTTAAATATCATTCATGTAAAAAAAAAAAAAAACTCCATCGAGTGCCATTAAGCTCTTCTTTTCTTAAATATTTCTACCTATGGGGTTTTTATTTCTCTGTTGTTATGTGTTGACTCTGAGATATGAAAGTTCATATAATGAAACAAGTAGCTTTCCCCCTCTTTTATACTCAAAACTAATTTAAGCAGTCGTGGAATTAATTCCAAGAGAATTTAAATGCCATTAGGGGCAATTATTCCCAGAGAGAATGTTGTCAGCACATTTGATCTAACAAATATGTATTAGCTGGGAATTCATTTTTGTATATTACCAATTTTTTCTCTCAACCCTTAAAAAGTTCAAACAACAGAAAAGTGGAAAAAAAAATCAGAAATCACCTGTAGATTCCTCACCTGGTAACACCATTTGTCTTCACCTTTGCTTTCTTTCTCTTTTAATAAACGTTAGGTTGAATTATAGGCATTTGCTGATGTTTTCGCCCTCAGAAAACAGCAGTTTAATAGAAGCCAACCGAATCCATGTACACCCACCCAAGAAAGCAATTTATACACATACTAATTTGCTATAAAATACTTCAATGTACATCTCTCCAGGATAAGAACATCCTCCTGGATAACCACAAAACCACAACCAAACCTAAAATGATTGACATTAATTCAGTAATATAATTTGCTATAATTATTTAATTTTAATGTCTGGCACTGTCCCCCCCAAAATTTTAAGACTTGTGTGTGTGTGTGTGTGTGTGCGTGGGGGTGGGGGAAATCCTCTCAAGCAAGGCTCGTGTATACTATTTGTTTTATATGACTTTTTTGTTTTTCCCCAACACTGACCCTTTTTGGATAACCTAGGACAACTGCCTGGGGGACTGGCATGCATCCTGAGCTTCTGTGACTGTTTCCTTAGATGAGATTCAGGTTAAATATTTTTGGCAACGATTCTCCCGAAGTGAGGCATACTTCTCAGTGCAATCACATTGAGATGCACAAACTGTCAAGTTATCCTACTTAACTAGTATTTTTAAAAAGTGTAATCATAAGGGCTTCCAAATATATTTCAAGTCAGTGGAGTAACATAATGAACACACATGATGACTCCCCAGCAATTATCTACCCAGGGCTAATCTTGCTACATATTCATCCCACCCAACTGCCCTCTTTCCAAATTATGCAATGAAGCCTACACGAAAACTTCAAATGAGAAGGGTTCAGAGGGCTCTGGATAGCTGAGCTCACGACTTACAGGAAGGTGAGCCAGGGCTCGTCTATGTGCAGGGAGGGTGGTGCTCCCCAACTACTCAGAAAGGGAGGCTCCCATGCTGCAGACCCTTCACCCCAAGTATCTCTTCATCCGGTTATTCCTTTGTGCCCTTTAAAATACCCAGTAATAAACCAGTTACCATAGAAGGTATTTCCCTGAGTCCTATGAAGAGCTCTAGCAAATCAAACCCAAGGACAGGGGTAGGGGAACCCCAACTGGTAGCCCAGTGGTCAGAAGTTGTGAAGGCCCACACTCTCAACTAACATTGGAAATGGGGGCTCAACCTGTGGGGTCTGGCTAATCTCCAGGTAAGAGAGTCGGAACTGAATTAAATTTAAGAACACAACTGCTGGCTGACCCCTGGGAAGAAATCCTCACTCATTTGGGGCTCACAGGTGATCTGTTTCTGGGGGTAACGGAGGAGAAACAGTTTGGTTATGGTCTATATATTCAGACATTGCTTCTAGGCTTTTTGATTGGACGAAATAAAGGTATTTTAAATGCCTTACACCACAATACACAGTGACACTTTGAACTCACATCAAGTGGAACAAGATTCTTCCTTGCCTCCCCTAATCCCACGTTAGTGTCACCTTTCCCTATGATGAAAACCCCCGACTTCCAATATTTCTAACGTACTTATCCATGAGCTCTATCCACAATATACTCAAAACAGTGTCCATCACACCATCAATGTGCCGCCATCAGTAAAGAATGAAGTTCAAGTTTTCTTTGCAGTGCTTTCTATCCCTAGAACACAGCATCCCTATCTACTACAACCTTTTCTCAAGGTAACCAATCCTTGTCCCTGGAAATGCAAAGGTGCTTTCCAGGTACTTCCCATTTCATGGTGCAGTACATTAAGATATGCCCTCAAGGTTCAAGATCTAACAAAATCATTTTTACTGCTCCACTAAGACAGTCTCACGTGAAACTGACATTTTATTTTTACATTGAATGTATGACTAATGCAATGACTCCTAGCACAGTGTGCTGCTACCACCTTGACTCCTGCTAAAGGCCAGGAATTTTCTCCACCTTTGTTTTTGCACAATCATTGCAAATAAAAAAGAATAATAATATAAAGGAGTAAATAATGTCAGTATCATTAAGACAATAAATTACCCTCATGGGTCACTACAAGGTTCTCAGGGTCCCACAGAGCACCCTTTTACTGCATGCTAGCATAGACAATGTTGTATAGTCAAAACTAACTTATACTCTGAATTTGTGTGTGAGTGTGGGAGTGTGGGCGTGTGTGTGTGTGTGTGTGTGTGTGTGTGTTGAAATGACCTTACATTCAGTCAGGTTCAGTTGAGAAATTACTAATTCCTAATCTACTTATTTTCATCACGATTTTAATGCTTGTTTCAAAATTACTAGAAATTAATAATTCAAAGAAATTTAACATTTGGTTTTCAGAGAACATAAATCCAAAGACTGGATTCTACAAGTCCAATGATGTTGGGAGTTAACACACGCACTTTTCCATCATCTCATAAAAACTTTTCACCAGGAAGTACAATGATGCAATGATCAGTGCTTCCCACCCTTATCTTGTCAGACACCTTCTGTTGTTGTTTAGCTATCAGAACTCACGCTCCAAGAGAATCCTGTGTGACAGACACACAGACAACACCTACGAAAGTGTAAACATGCCTGCCGTACATAGTTCACCCAACACCAAGTTCTACCCCTGAAGTGGTACTGAGACAGGGATGGTATGTCCACGTCAGTCTCTTTTTTTGGAGGGGGTGTGGGGACAGGACACTCGACCACTGAGCCACATCCCCAGCCCTGTTTTGTATTTTGTTTAGAGACAGGGTCTCACTGAGTTGCATAGTGCCTCACAGTTTCTGAGGCTCGCTTTGAACTCCCCTGATCCTCCTGCCTCAGCCTCCTGAGCTGCTGGGACTACAGGAGTGTGCTCAGTCTCTTTTTGACCTCTCACCATTTTGTACAAAAAGCTCTGCTGGCCCAGCTTATTTTAACACAAATGACTACAAGAGGGGCACTCCATGAACAGATTTATTGGAAGAAAATCCACAGAGAACAGAAAGTCTCAGAGATAGGAACAACAAACGGCTTCCAGTGGCCAGTACATCAGCCCCAGCATCACCATGTGGAGCCCCTCACTGTGTAAGGCCTGCACTTCTCAACCTTCCTCCTGCATCTGCTCCAGAGGTGCCATCAAGGGGCTGTAATTGTTAGAAACAAAGGGGAAGAACACACGTTGCAAAATGCATTCTTGGGGTACAAAGGACTCTGATTCTTGCTGCCAAACTTAAAGTTTGAGGATTTAGCAAAATTCTCTATCAAATATCCCTATGTCCTTAATACAATGTTTAATTTAACAGACACAACAAAGGGGACAGGGTTTGTAAAACAGGAACCCAATAAAAAAGGGACACACTTCTAATGTCTGACCAGTTCAGCAGGTCAATACATTGACCTCACGAGCTTGCCATCTTCTTGGGCTGCGATCCACGGGGTAGCTGTGTGGTCCACACAAGGTGCAACTGACTTTTTTAAAGTGTCTGCTCCATTTGTTAACATCAATCCTAACATTCACCAAAAAAGAAAAATAAAGCAAATAACTGAAAAGGCAACACATTTCCCACCAGTGGCTATTTATGTAAGTTGAATTCACATAGAATTAGGATGACCTCAATCTAGTCAGCAAACAAAATCTGGAAAACTCCCTTCTGAAAGCTCTGTCATGATTCATAAAAATCGCAGACACATTCATGCCATCCCTGACTCTCATATACACTCTAGGTGTGTGTTCACTCTATCCTTACTGGAATTAACCATGGGACTATCAGTAAAAGTCAAGTGGGGACCAGGAGTCAATTCCCTGTCAAGGGCAGAGGCATGAGGATGGCATCCTTGAGCATCTGCACCAGGCCTGGCTGCATAGGCCATCAATAAATACTTGCTAAAAGCATTTAACCTGTATGACTTTGTAGTCTCTTACCTAGAAAAGGTGCATTTTCCTAGGAAAGGCACTGGGTCAAAAGGTACACTCTGTGACATTCCTATAAAAGAGGAATCAAGAATTTTCACCCAGAATGCTAGGACATCTACACACAACAGTGGTGGTCATAGCTCCTCTTCTGGAAAGGGCTGCAGATCTCACCTGTAGCCATATAAATTTCCCAAGAACTCATCTCTAGAACAGACACCGCTGCAATTCAGTGGGTTGGAGGGCCACCAGGCAAATGTAAAATGAGATGAGATGGTGCCCACCCATGAGGGAAGCCACTCCTGAACTCTAGCTAACCACTACCAGGCAGAAACAGGGGTCCAGTGTGCCTGACCTTCAATGTTCCCAGGAAAGCTAGGAATCTGAGTTTGGGTGGGAAGGACCAAATATCTCTGTGATGGATCTCAAA